TTTTTTGGGCCCCCCCAAAAAAAATTGTGTTGTGGATCCGCCCTTGCTCCATTTGGGTCCCAGAAAATACAATCGATTAAGTGAAAGGGTGTACATTTTACTTGGACCCCTCTCACCTGGACATGCTGGATCTGGGTTAAGCATTGAATATAGCATTGAAGTTGATGACATCACAGGTGAGAGTGGCCCAAGTAAAATTTACACCCTTTTACTTAATTGATTGTATTTCTAGATCTAGGGATCCAAATGGAATGGGGTAAAAAGGAACGGATTTAGACACACATATATATATAATTTCTTGGAAGAAAAAAATTAAACAGTTTCAATTATTTATTTTCTAAATGTTCCACATTTTTTTACACACACCGTGGTGTTTCTAGGGCCGTTATGATGACGTTCTTAAACAAATATATTCTTCTTTTATTACTCTTCATTGTGCCACAAATATTATAGGAACATGGTAAAGGTAAAAAGTGCAAAACTATATGCACAGGAAACAGTTGATAAAATAGTGTTAGATATCTTATTTTAAGATGAATAATAAATGTCAGCATACTAAATGTCACACAATTGTTTCAAAAACACATTACAAAATAGGCCCAGATCAGAACTCAACCCTCCCCCCCCCCCCCAAAGGAACACAGAATCAACAAAACAAAGTATGAACAACGAAAAAGACGGACATGCCCTGTATACAGTGTATTAGAAACGCCCATAAATATAGGGGAAAAGGGCCATTTTCAAGTAGAGATTCGTATTCAGTTGTCTTGTGCAATTAATCTATGTGTGTGCATGTCTTTCTCGTACCTTCTTGAATTCTCATTTTGCGAAATTGATTGCCCAATATACGAAAATAAAAATAAAATTTTAGTGAAAATCTCCAGTCGAACCAACTCTGTTAAAATTGGAGGACGAGTGTGTGATATTTATACTGGTGAAAAGTCAATTTACCTTACTTATAGATCGTCGTATTATAAATGTGTAATGCTAAAGGAATCCGCATGCCTGAAAACGAAATTTAATACTTGAATTCCTAATTCAAAACACATAAAGAATACAACAGCTGGATAGTATGAATGTATGAAAGTGGAATTTTCTGCTTATTTTGCCGAAATTGAAAGGGAAACATGCCTCCAGTCGAACCAACTCTGTTAAAATTGGAGGACGTGTGTGTGATATTTATACTGGTGAAAAGTCAATTTACCTTACTTATAGATCGTCGTATTATAAATGTGTAATGCTAAAGGAATCCGCATGCCTGAAAACGAAATTTAATACTTGAATTCCTAATTCAAAACACATAAAGAATACAACAGCTGGATAGTATGAATGTATGAAAGTGGAATTTTCTGCTTATTTTGCCGAAATTGAAAGGGAAACATGCCTCCAGTCGAACCAACTCTGTTAAAATTGGAGGACGTGTGTGTGATATTTATACTGGTGAAAAGTCAATTTACCTTACTTATAGATCGTCGTATTATAAATGTGTAATGCTAAAGGAATCCGCATGCCTGAAAACGAAATTTAATACTTGAATTCCTAATTCAAAACACATAAAGAATACAACAGCTGGATAGTATGAATGTATGAAAGTGGAATTTTCTGCTTATTTTGCCGAAATTGAAAGGGAAACATGCCTCCAGTCGAACCAACTCTGTTAAAATTGGAGGACGTGTGTGTGATATTTATACTGGTGAAAAGTCAATTTACCTTACTTATAGAACGTCGTATTATAAATGTGTAATGCTAAAGGAATCCGCATGCCTGAAAACGAAATTTAATACTTGAATTCCTAATTCAAAACACATAAAGAATACAACAGCTGGATAGTATGAATGTATGAAAGTGGAATTTTCTGCTTATTTTGCCGAAATTGAAAGGGAAACATGCCTCCAGTCGAACCAACTCTGTTAAAATTGGAGGACGTGTGTGTGATATTTATACTGGTGAAAAGTCAATTTACCTTACTTATAGAACGTCGTATTATAAATGTGTAATGCTAAAGGAATCCGCATGCCTGAAAACGAAATTTAATACTTGAATTCCTAATTCAAAACACATATAGAATACAACAGCTGGATAGTATGAATGTATGAAAGTGGAATTTTCTGCTTATTTGCCGAAATTGAAAGGGAAACATGCCTGCAAGGCTATTTCACTTCCTGAACTGATTCTGTGTCTATCTACACAAAAAAAGATCACGATGTATATTTTGACCAATGGGTTTTATTCACGAGTCGGCCATATTAAATTTAAAAAGTGAGGTAAAACCTTCCCTTTTGGATCTTGCAAATAGAATTGAAAGTAATGACGTCAAGTTATTTAGAAATTAATACCAGTCTGCTCTACTTAATAAATAAAAACAAATTGTGATTAAACATACCCTAATGTTTTAAGCCACATTTAAATTTGAAAAAGAACTGAAAGTGAGGCTAGAGTGCATAAATAGTCTGGCACCATCCCATTCAACAATTCACAATTTACAAAATGCAATCAGGGAACACGACCAAAATGTCTTTCTCGTGAATAACGTCCATACGGTTCTAAGCAGCATTTTGTGAAGAGAATCACACCGGAGAAAAGCACTATGGTCACTCGGCAATCATTTATTCGCTTGAAACAGTCCAACAAGCATGGCTTAACAATTACATGTACAAATGTACAATTTATCTGCTACCAGTTCTAATAATTAACAGATCCATGTAACTATACCAGCATGGCTTACTAAGCGAAAACCAAAACTGAGCGGTCCTTGTGCCCGTGCTCTGGCATTGCGCGCGACTTGAGCAATGAACTCTTGACTGCTTAACAACCGACGTAGACACTGAGCAATGAACTCTTGAATGCTTAGCTATAGTCCATCATTTGTAATTTGTGCATTTTGTTCGTTTGAAGCAACAAAAAGAGTTCAAAATCTAATGAAGGATACTAAACAACTAACCTGATGAAGTTTCAGCTAAGCTTCAGCTGTACATTCCGAGAAAAACAGCATTCTAAGATCTCAATTTCAAATCAAAAGTTACTGAATCATGTTTTGAATTGTTTTGAATTGCAGCTATACGCGACATAGCGCACTGATCCGACGAATTATAACAACCGCGCGCGCGTGTACGTCGTTCCAATACTTGTGCGCGCTGCGCTGAATAACAAAACGAACTACTAATTTAAATTTTCCTACGGTGCTTCTTAAGAATCACCGTTGGAAATGCCTTCTTTCGTTGATTACTTCAAAATGACAGCTTCCCAGAAAGAATAATTTCACAGGGAGTTTAGTTCCCTTACTATCTTTCAAACAAGTTTGTTTTTCACCAATAATTACGCCAGTTACTTTTCGGATGGCTGCAAATGATGGACTATAGCTTTAACAACCGACGTAGACACTGCAGACATCCACTAGCTGCCTCCCTGCAGCGCACGCTCAAGTTATGTCGCCCTTCTCGACACCGTGTGGTCCGCGTTGTGACCTTTCACATAAGGGCCTGCCCCAAGCCGTGTTAATTCAGACCGGTGCAATTTGGTGCACTGTGAAATGTGGGCCCATATGAAATAGGGACTCCTTTGGTTGTAATGTACATGCCTAGTGAAGGTACAATGTTTTAGGACAGCGACAGGTCACGTGTGAGGGTTAGAATCCATATTAGGTAAAGGGCAATTCCATAGAGATGTGGACGTGGCTGAAAAATGGAAAATTTATAAAATCTTAAAAACTGCAAACGTCACAACCAAATGTGGTATCAGCCACATTTGATACCAAAGGTGACAACAAGACCTTTCATTTGAGTGATGCGGCATTTAGATGGAGTGTGGGGGTTTGGGTTTTTTTTGTCCAAAACAAACTATATTTTTGGCAGAAATTATGGATGGTAGGTAGTCGTTTTGGCCCCTTGCTTTTATACTTGCAAAATGCAAGTGTTTTTTGTGAGTTTTTGTTTTTTAGGCAGGGAGAAATTAGGTTAATGTTTCATGCGAAGAAATTTTATGTTTTAGTTTCTCATATGTTTTAACATTGGGCGAACACCAAACTGTAATGTGAGTCACCGTAACGTGATGAGTTACCGAGATGTAACGTTACCGAAAACATCATGGAGAAAATTTGCTCATTGGCTTACTGCATGTACAGACACCACAACAAAACACATTGAGGTCTCTGCCTGAAACGACATCACACTTTTGCTCATGAAATTGGAAATTTGCATTAGCATAAAAACCAAAAAGGCATAAAAAATACCCGTGAATATGACAAAATGAAAAATATTGCTAGGGATAAATGGGACGCAAAGGTGCATTTTGAAGGATTGCATACACTGCAAAAACTGTAGTGTTAATTTAACACCATTTAGTATCTATATAGGGCAACACCAGTAAAATTTAACACCAGATGGTCCTATATAGATACCAATGGTGTAAATTTAACACTGCAGTTTTTGCAGTGTAAAAAATTACACTGCATGGGCTCCTTCAAGGGATCTACTGTGAGGAAAATCTACCCTCAGAGTTGTCGGAATGGAGTCCGAATTAATATGACACCGGCATGGTGAATACAAATATACTCCCTGAGCTTGATTTAGCGTCATGATATTATTTTCTATAATATATTCCATTTTTGTTATATTGCTGACATTAGCATACCTATATATTCTATGTTATACATTGTAATTCACTCATTCACATCATTCAAGTTAAGCTCTAGTTGCACACAGCAGCTGTTGAGCCGGCATGGAGAGTCAGTCCAACGTCCAACATAAAAATAACAAAGTAATGCAGATATTTTCTTCTCTTTGCCTATACGGGCGTCCCAACGATATTTGTATCACTTATTAGCATGTTTAATGACATCGTCATGACGATTTTTCATTCCAGTGCTGATATATCGTGATGTGGAAGACTGCAATGTCAATAGTCAAGTGCTAAAACCATGCTAATGTTTCCTTTGTTCATGTTGGCTTTATACATAATGATATTCTTGCATTACAAATACTTTTTCTCGAATTGTATTGCAGGTCAAAGCCCACGCAAAGACCCACGAAGCCCCAACCTAAATCGGCACCGAGCCCTCCTAAAAAAGCAGCTGTATATGACAGGCGGAAACCCAACTTCACTGAGGAAATCAAGTAAGACACAAATATTCGCACTTATTACTGACACTTGACCTATAGTTTCCTGAATCCAACTTATTCAAACACCAAACAGGATGTCGAGCAGTACGCGTCCACCACTACCTGCTCTCTCACCCTGGTACTGGATCATGTGCATGTGCAAGATTTTTGAACACGTATGCAAGTGAGGAGTAGTCTGGTGCCTGCATGTGCGTTACATTAGCCTTTTGTTTTTGTATGCGGTGTCTGGGGTGAAAACAGCATCAATTCGTCGCGCCATGAGTTATTAAAGCATGATTTTTTTTAAGTTAAACTGTTACAATCTGGCCCGCCAATATGCAGTATCACATTTCATATATTAATATGAGCAAACTGAAAAAGAAAGGAGTATGTTTGAGAAGGCGTGGACGTTATAATTACAACGATCGTGAAAACACGTAATGCACGTTGGAAATAACAGCACCAACTACACGATATAAATCCATTACTAGAAAATTGCGGTATCGAATCAGGATGCTGGAAGAAAGTTCCTATCCAGGGCTTACTATTGGAACGAGGTTGGAAATTAAGTAAGCACTGGGGACGAGGTTCTGCCTGAATAGGTTCCGATCGTATGACGTCAAAGTACCACGTGACCATCCAGCTTCCCTGTGATTGGCATACCATTGCAGTTGGCAAGCATTTGCCAATAGCAACCACATCAGACGTTGTAAACTAGACAGTAGGGATTATTTTCACGTAAAATAACCGCTATAGCCTTTGTCAAAATGGCGTAATGGCCACTAGTACCAGTTCCGTGCCATTGTCACAATCGAGCCGACCCAGCACTGGGTGTTAAGCTAGGTTTTTTTCCAACAGGTTTTTTTTGCCATCCATCACAGCAGCTTTGAACGGTCTATGAAATATCCCCCTTGAACAGCAAAGGTCTATGATTCGGCAATATAGATTATGCAAAACAAGATCCCTATAGCAATAACGTTGTAAACTATGGACAAAGTGACGCAAGCAAGAATCTGAACAAGGGGCGCCAAGGTCGCCAGATCTTGCCCCCTTTATTTTTGTCTTTGGGGATACCTAAAGGTCCGGGTATACCGCATTGTGCCAAACACCCTGCAGGAACCTCGCCAACAAATTACTGGTGAAGTCCTAAGCCCTCAGAAGAAGACGGATGGTCCGCAGGGCTATTGATCTCTAGATTCTGACCATCCGTGTCGGCGGGCGCCTTCTGATCTGTCCGGTCTTCCGTCACCCGTTGTTGTATTACAAAAACATGGCCGCACATTGACAAATCAACAGCTTATATATAGTCCACATTTCTGATCGAAATGACGTCACGATTTCTAAAGTTGACTCCGATTGGCTGGTGCGGTGGGTGGTGTAAATTGCATGCTGGGATATATCAGACGTTCGTCGTGTGGCTCTGCACTTGTGAATGTCTGATCCTCAGATTAATAAGCTTTGAAGGCATGCCTATACTGCGCGGTGCGCGCTATAGCCTACGATCTTTGCATACTACAATGGCGACGTTGACCCTCTGGTGCCCGGATGTAGGCTGGGTCGTGAGAGAGCCCTATATTCGCGCATTATAAACCCTAAAATGAGACGCAGTCTTCAACTTTCGTCGCATGCATTATCGTACCGTCTATGTAGGCCTATAGTTGCTGCCTATAGATTTTAGTATCTGTGTCGACGATGGGGCCAATCGTTCTTTCATTTCAATGGACGCATGCCACCGTCAATTGGTTTGCCAAGCATAGAGTAGCTAGTCTGTCAAGACGCGACGGTCGTCCAAAGTCCGAGTATCGTGGTGCAAGGCTCTGTGTCCGCAATGAATATGAATGGTTGCATACGCACATACTGAAATGTGTATCCTTGTGGAGACATTTCTTTGTTCTCGTGTAGTAAAGTTTTCGAGTTTGAAAGTGTAGTTTCAAAATGCCCTTCTTTTAACCAGAATTAATTTCCTTAGCTGAAATTCGGACTAAATATCCCTTTTCCAAAACTCTTCCATTTGCGACAAATCAACCCACCTTGGAAATTCCTGTTTTTGGGTAAAATATATATTTATTTCGTGAAAAACCTTGTGGAGACGTATTTATCTATGGAAATTGCCCTGTGGAGACGTATACAATCTTTTGTTCCCTATTGTGTGCATGTCTCTAGAGGGCACGGTGTATCAGATCAGGGTGAGTGGAACGAAGATTGCCCGAATAACAATATGCAAACAAAATATGGGGCTCGCTCCATTTCATAACAAAAACCCACAGCAATAAAGCACATGTTATTGACGAGCAACTGTGACAATTTCACGTAATTCCTATACTCTATTCCCAAGTTACGTCTATTTTAATATGAAGATCAGAACATTCAGCTGTCCACCACTGATCTTGTACTGTCCGATCCACAAACTGCAGTAAATGCAATGAAACATGAATGTTTTCCCACCTCCATGAATGGAGAACTTGCAAAGGCAAACATACAAAAATCGCCATTAATACAGGGTGAGTAAAAAAAAAAACACGAAACCCAAAGGCAAACATACAAAAATCGCCATTAATACAGGGTGAGTAAAAAAAAAACCACGAAACCCAAATGTCGGGACCATTGCTTTACTGAAGTTCTGCATGTAGCACTTTTAAAATCTAGAATATGAAAGCCCAATTCAAAAGCTTTCTCTTAGTACAAGAATCATTCAAATCACTTCTTTTTAAGTGTACGGAATTTCAAACACAATCACCGTTTTAAAGTTCTGTCCACGGATCACCAAAAGGTGTGCGTTCTTTCACCCAAACGAAAACAATTCACATACATCCCAATGTGATTATGGTCGGGTTTTTTTGCAGTATGCCATTTTTGAGGTCATCAGTCAACTTCGCTTTCTTTGACTCACCCTGTATGTCACCCTGTATGTCAGGGAAAAAAATAGATAACTTGTTCCTAATGTTCAAAGCACAAAACATGACAGAAAAAAAAATTCATACATTCTTCATTAATGATTAAAATCTCATCTGTCTTTGAGTGCTTGTGTGTAATCTGTTATTCTCACTCAGCTCAATAGCTTCCAATGGCATTCCATGGACAGCTATAAAAAAAGAAAATGGGTTCTTTCAGTAAAACGTGCATGACTGATAGCATGGATTCTTCTTTTGTTGGATGAATGGGAGAACATGTAAGATAAAATTCATTGGTATTTCATGTTTGATTGCTTTTTAAGAAGAAAAAAGGATAAATTCAGGTCACTTTGTTTTTGACTCGCCCTGTATTGGGATTACCTCCCATACAGCATAATGTCAAACGCAGTGTTATTCAATTAAAGACGGGCATAGGAACATTGGTAATTTCTCGGAAAACCACTCGCCGATTTGTCTTGAAAAATGCTCTGATCGTCGTCATTAAAACCCTAACCCTGCTGAGTCCAACAGGATCCAACTGTGTAGGTCTTATACCCAATGGAGCCTGTTGGATTGAGAAGTAAACCCCTGGTGCACATTCCTAATGCAAAAATGTTGGATTCAGCAGGCAACTGAACCGCATTACAACGCCATGTTGGACTCCGTTGGATTCAGAAGACAACTGAAAATGAGGCACAGTGGATTGAGCAGGAAAGTCCGGTTGGACTCTGTTGGATTTAGCAGGGTAGTCCTGAGGAACTACTAATAGGGGTTAGGGATCCTGAAACGCAAACGCAGCGCCAGTGTTACATGCAGTTGGCAATATCACTCCTAGTCATAGCTTGAATATATTTTTTTTATAAAATAACCACACAGGGCCGGAATTCTCTTTCAAATCGGTTCGTATTGACTTCGAAGTCCAGGCATATATTTTTGTTCACGCTCTGTTGGAGCCTGATTCTTCGTATACCGTCAGCCATGAACGCTTATGCCGGGGTCAACTTAGTATTGCAGTATTTCTAGTGGGTTGTTATTTTAAAATCCTGTGCATTGCATGGTGACCGTTTTAGCCGATTTTCGGCTAACTTTGAAGGATTTTTTGTTAAAAAAAACAGTTTGACAGGAAATTTGACAGAATGGATTTTTTTGGCAGATTTCTGGCAGAATTGTGGAAAAATGGTAATTTGACTGAAAAACATAGCACATTTGAAAAAAAAATAGTATATTTGTTTAAAAAAGCTTCAAACTTTTCAAACAAACCTTGCATAATGTGACTGGTTGGCTGGTCTAGGTGCTGAGGTTCACTGGGAATCGGACTTCGTCGTGACGCAACCGCGTTTTGTCTGAAATTTACGCAATTTCATAACATCTTTATGGACTATAGATTGTTTATAATGTAATTTTAAGTGTTTGTAGTGTATTTAGAGTAATTCTGGGGAATTTGGCAGATATTTGATAATCTGACAGATTTTTGAAGTCCATTTAGCAGAATTTAGCAGAACAAGCTGTCATTTCCGTAAATGCAATTCGGTGAAATAAGTTCAGTAACTGCTCTGATGAAGGAGTTACCAATGAATGAGACCTGTTGGTTTGCATGGTGGATCTGAACGAAGTACATGGAAGGTTTGCGGTAACACCATGTCAATTATTTTGAACTCTCTTGAGTAATTACCAATGGTTGTTGACTTGGTTGGATTCTCATACAATCGTTGGATTCTCATTCAGTTACGTCGCTGTATTTAGGCTTTGTGTCTTGAGTATGCACTTGACAGTGGCGCCAGACTCTAAAATTGGGGGGGGGGGGCAAAAGGGAGGCCGAGGAACAAAACTTGGGGGGGATCCCATGCCCCCGTAGCGCCGCCACTGGCACATCGAGGGCAAGGCTTCGCTGCGTCATGATCTATTCTTGAATGTGACGGTTACCATAAGATCATATTTGCTTTGCAAGCATTTTGTTTGTTTACGGTAATAACACCATTCACAATTCCAAAGAAGAATGTTCAAAACCTAACATGTTGAAGTTCCAGCTCAGTGGGTATTACGAAAACAGTAAAAAAAAAAACATGCACAACCGTCTTTTGCTCACGAAGCACGTTTCTTCAATAGCACTCTTTATTTTCAAAAATCAGGCCTAAGACCTAATGACGTCACGCTATGTTTACATGTGCGCTTTCCTATGTAGTAGAGACGGTCCCTACTTCGTCTGGCGTCCCGACTTCGCTCCCATAGGAAAGTGCATAATTTGTTTTATGTAAACAAAGTCATTACCATTGATCTCCATATACTGTGTATATGGAGATCAATGGTCATTACGTCATTAGGTCTTAGGTCTGAATGATCGTTGAAATTCGCCTTCATTGCTTGATTTCTACTAAGTGACATGCAGTAATTAGCCAGTCAGAATAATTTCAAGGGGGGGGGGTAGTAACAGTATACGATCTGTAATCTAAGTAAGCTTTCTGATAGTAATTCAGTAGGTTATTTTGGGGATGAATTCAAATGATTGTATCCACGGATGCAATACAGCGCCTATAATTGGATACACAATGTGTATAGGCAGTGTGGAGCATACATGACTCATCCGGCCAGGCACACAATTTTGCCGTTACTGATAACACGTGGAAGTTGACATTAGTCATTTGTAAAGAGCAGCGAGAGAAAAACATATCTAAGCTTTTGTTGACAACGCATCCTCCTCGTGTATCGTGGTATATTACCATGGCAACGGAGTACAGTCATCCATTTTGTTGTTGTTGAGAGGAGGGATGGTCCGCCAATAATGGCAGACGCATTCCAACTAGCCGTATTTTTCTTCTTGGTTTCTGTTCGTTTATAGCTTTGTTAACCCACCTGCCAAATAATGCAATGTTTAATTTCACTGTTGTAACCCTTCCCCAGGGTCATGGGGTTTGTTCCTTTTTGTGGAATAAAACATAACATAACTATTATAACGATATTCTGCTTGTATATAGGCAGAGATGTTCGCAGCATGTACACGTACGTGTCTGTGATCTTGTATTGTATTACGCTCGAGGACAGACAACAAAAGGAGCACAAAGGAGCCTTTGACCCTCGGACGACGGTGCCTATTGTTAAAACCGGTCCTCGATCGTACGGTTATGTGTTAAGTCTATGGGAAAGTGTTATATTAGAGGGACAAGGGAAAACACAATAGTTGACCTCAGGCGTATAGTAAAAAAAGATGTGTGAGCGTGTACATGTAACCACGGATCCCACAAACAAGGATTAACGACTCGGCCAAACTCCTGGTTGAAAGCGTAATACAGGTGGCAATTACCATGCATGCTTGTCAACAAAGACCCATGACAGAGCTTAACCGCTTCACTGCACTACGCGGTGGCTTTCAAATTTGCAGGGCTCCGTGTCCGATCTAGTGTCGAAGACTGTCAAGCCAGCTAATTGTATTTTGGAATGTTTTCATGATCCTACGTTTTTGACTTTTATTATTGAATTCTGATAAGTGCATGATAACTACATAACCATCTTAACGCCGAGCACAATATCTTTAGCTTAAAATGAACTATGAAATGTCGCATTTGTTTCTCCGGTTCGGGACCACATCTCTTTACAAGTTTTAAATGCAACTAAGCCTAATTAAAAAGGAAATTTGGGTAAAGGGTGTTCTCCTCGAAAAAGGTGTCACATTTGACGTTTATTTCCCGGGTGAACACTTCATCTATGACGACAAAAACTGCACAATACCATCTGTTATATCCTGAAGTTTTTAGTTTTAAACAATTTTTGAACAGGTATATCCGTACATAAGGAGTGGTTTTGCTTTCAGTTTTATGAATTTTTCCGTTTTAGATGTCATGCAAAAAAAAACCGACAAAATGTTCATTACGCGTAACAAGAGAGCCAATTGCATAATAGAGACAGGCGCAGTACATGGAGATTATATTCACCCTGACAACCATGTGACTGTTGTAAGCGATGCTAATTACTGATCAATTTATTCATTGCGACGCCAACAAGGTGCATGCGCCTGGATACCTCTCCTGCTAGAATAAAATATTCATTACCCCGGAGGCTGAGCATAAATTTAAGGAGCAAGGTCGTACACATTATTTCAGCAGTGAATATTTATTTCTGCTTCGCCCAGTTAACTTTGCACAGGGATAAGAGATACAAAAAAACACCTGTTGGTCCGTGTGGTTGCAGACCAGCAAATAAATTGCCTGAAGGAGAGATATCGTTAAGAATGCAGGGCGCTTGCAGTTGATATGAATTATTATTGCATTGTACTTGGCGTGCTATACATGGTACTATAATGGTATTATCTCCTCACATGATAGTTAATGACGAAAAAAAGGGGAAACGATATCAAGAAATGATTTGAATTATTGCAAAAGGCTTGCTACGTGGACGTTGGATAGGAATAACCTTTTAAGTGTTTATCAGGCAATGTTCCTAGTTATCTTAGCGAAGCTTTTGTTCCAGTCAGAGAACTACATTGTCATCGAACTAGGAATAGCACTGTTGGCAATGTGGTACTTCCACTCCCTAGAACAGAAAATGAAAAAAAAAGAACTTTTAAATTCAGGGGTGCCCAGGCTTGGAAAAAATTACCGCAACATTTGAAATCTCCGCATCCAACAAGTGTTATTCACTTCGTCAAACAACTCAAACAGCTCAGTTAAAAAGAAGAAGAAGAAAATAAGCGGAGAAAAAAAAACAGGGGGGGGGAGATGTCATCTTGCAGCGATGTTTTGTATTGTATTGTAAATGTCTGTTGATCTGTGTAATTCCTATTTTATTTAAGTTTATTTCAATGAATTTTTTTACATTCTTACATTGTACTTTTAATTGTATTTTAAGAGTAGTTTTGTGTGAGCTGGGATCCATGGGAGATCAGTGAGTTTTTCTCACTGAATGGATCACCCAGGATAAATAAGAAATAAATAAATTAATTAATTAATTAATGAGGAAAAACGTTACTGTAGACAATCATTCGTTGACTGCATATATTTTTCTATCAGATTGTCAACACGTTTTACTGTGAGAAGGTATGAATTATGGGTAACATAGGAAATACTTTGAAGAAATAGACTTAAGACCTATAATGACGTAATGGCTTTGTTTACATATGCGCTTTCCTATGGGAGCAAAGTGGGACGCCAGACGATGTAGGGACCGTCTACCGCATAGGAAAGCGCACGTGTAAACAAAGCGAGATGTCATTAGGTCTCAGGGGTATTGCGGCCACGAAAATACGGCACAGGCTTGGGAAATTTATTGTGAACATTCATTCTTACTATAGATTTGTACTTTGGAATTTACGTTAAATTAGATCCAAAATTCAATTAGCTCCAATTCCATCAAAAAAGGTACATTCTTTTTTAAACAGCGTTTTAAATTTGTTTCCATTTTTTTTCAATTCATTTTTCTTGAACATGGAGCATTTCAACGAAACGAAATGAAATGACTTAAATTCCGAAAAACTATTAATTTTAAGCATAGGTTTTTCCGGCTTTTTTTCAGGCAATTTCAAATTTAGTCTAAACAAGTTCAATTCAAACAATGAGCACACGTTTTGACCCGGAGTATTCGATTTCGTCTCGTCCACACCAAATCGTGTTATTCAGAAATCAAATTCGTCTAATTGATTTATATAAGACGAATTTGATCTCTGAATGCTGCCATTCGCTGACAGCTTAGAGGGATTTGATATGTAACGACGGATATTCTCGACCCGGTGACTAAAAAAGGTGACCTGACCAAACTTTGAAATTGAATGGTAAATGACTAAATTGGTTTTGTTAAAAGCATGTGAAATTTTTCTCGGACGAAATTGAATGTTAGAGTTGGTGAATCTGAATGATCAATGTTTTTAATATAGCCTGGAAAACCTATATCAAATCATAAGAATATATAGAATTAACCTGGGGAGTCAGGTTGGCGCATTACTGTCCTCGCCTTCCACCGCTGTGGCCCAGGTTCGATTCGTGTCCTGGTCCACATATGGATTAGGTTTTCAGTTTTCTGGGGTTTTCCTGTCATCTCTAGAAAGAAAAATGTAAGTTTTTCTCACTGTCTTCTCTCTACAGGTTGTCTTCAGGCTCTCGAGCTACAGTGAAACTTTTGAGGAATCCTTGGTTTCATTACAGCAAGAAAGAAATAAATAAAACAAAAACCTGTTGAAAAACGTTCGGGTTGAATCCTACATTTTGGTTGGCATGCGGCACTGCGTAGGCAACTCTGTTATTCTTGCAAAATTTCCCCTTCAATATCTCTCTGTTAAGTTTGTATTCTTTCTTTCTTGTGCTCTCGGCTGTCTAAGGGTGACTTGTCTCATACCTTATTTGACATTGTGTAGTATTTTTTTTCACATGTTGTTATTATGATTGTTTTTCGTTTTGGTTTCATCGTCCAGCTACTTCGCAAACATATACAACAACAGCCTTCCGGACGGTGACAAGTTTTTCGAGTACGCGGCCAGGGTTATCAAGCGCGCATGGAAGCCCAACCCCAAGAATACAGAGACATTTAGGTAAGAGCGAGGAATACCGGCAATCGTATACGGGGGGGGGGGTTGAATTCAGAATTATCTGGACTCAATTTCACCATTTTTTTGTGGCAAATAGAGTATATTCTCTCTAAATTCCAAAGAGTGAAATTAGGGACTAGATCTTTTAGAGTGAAAATCACTCTCATTTTCGATTGACATAGTCTGAAAAATAAATCACTTCAGTAGAAGCTCGAGTGAAACCTCGATCTTTACGATTGAAGAAATTTCACTCTAAAACGTCTAGTCCCTAGTTTCCGATTGTGGGAGTGAATCTTCACTCGAATGGAGTAAATTTTCACTCTTTAGAATTTAGAGAGTTGGGAAAATAAACTGAGTGTTTCATATGAATGGTTATTACCTTGTCTTCCACAGGAATTTTGATTTTTTTTTCTTCAAATAAGTGGCTGTGGTGAGGAGTTATGCCATTTTCATTAAAGTGGCTCATTTTCCAATCTGCACACGGAATTGGTTTTTGTCTTTTCTTTTTAAATGTGTCAATAACTTCAAGTGAGTCAGGATATCCATGAAACTTTCACCAAATGTGTCCAAAATACCAGCGTATAACATATCTAATTTGCACCTGTTTTGATAATTGCTTAATTTTTAAATATTTTCTTTAATTTGGGTCCAGATCATTCTGACTCACCCTGTACACTCTGATTTGACTCGGAATCCGATTTTTTTTTTTAGGACCGCGATGCTTTTGTTGGTCAGGCAGACACTTTCCGCGTCAAAACCAGTACTCAGAAAAAGATCAAGAGAAGTGTCATCTTGACCCGTCAGGTGTCATTTTGACCCAGAAAAAAATCAGTTCAAAATATGACCCGGCTTTCGGGTCAAGTTTGACCCGGGAGTGTTTAGAAATCAAAAGCTGCTGCAAACTGCTTAACAGATCCGGATCAGACCCCGATCCCGCTCGCGTTTACACTTGTTGTCGATCCGCCTTCGATCCCCCTTCCAGGATCAGATTCCCCATCTGAAAGGATTGTACAGGGTGAAACAGAATGATCTGGACCCAAATTAAAGAACATTTAAAAATATGTAGCAATTATCAAAACAAGTGCAAACTGAGATATATTATAGGCTGGTATTTTCGACATAATGTGGTGAAAGTTTCTTGTATAGGCCTATATTTTATTGTACCGTTTTGAAGAAAAGCGCTAGCAAAGAACACACGCTAAAACAAAACAAAAACACTGTGACCACAGTTCCATGGTTCAACAGATTTATTGAAATCGCATACTGATGTGAAGCAGTGTAATAATTAAATAGAAACCTTGTCATGGTGACTGACTCACTTGAAGTTATTGAGAAATAAATACGGCAAAACCAATTCCGTGCGCAGGGGCTGTCCCAGGAGCTGCCCCACCCAAGACCCTGGGGATTGTCACTTTTGAAGTGACAAAATCCCTAGCCCTCGAGCAAAATTTAAGTGACCATCTCCGACATCCATACTTGGGGCGCAGTAGTGATTGCCTTCCCATGTAGCACGCCAAAGGTAACAGTGTTTTTGAGTAACCAAAATCCCCACCCATGGGACGTGAAAAACGTGACCAAACCCCGACATCGGACCTGGGGCAGCGGGGGGGGGGGGGATTGATAGGCGCGTTATACTCACAAGTTTCGCTCCAACAACTTGCCTAGCTTTTTAAAACATTTGCTTTGTAGCCTAATGTTTGGTTTGTCGTTTCATGTTCATCGTTTGTACTCCATCCGCTGACAGGAAGGATATACGTGCAGCGCTGGGCGAAGTGGGCAGGAGTCAGAATGTTTACCTGACGAAGGACAACACGCCGGAAGGATCCACGATGATTTACTACATGGCCGGCAAGCCCTCTAAAATAGCCAATCACATCTGGTCGATGCTACCAGATGTAAGTATTAAAGATGTATACCCATGATCTTCAAATATATATACATTTTTTGTCGACTACCGAATTTCCAATTTGCATGTCTTGTTTTCACGGGGAAAAAACTCCGATTTGGGGCGTCTGCAACCCTCAGAAACAAAAATTATTTTGCTCACCAAATGGAACCACCCTGCGGGAGCCGACAGTTGTCCGGCAGCCAATAATTCGATTTGTTGTGAAGAAATAATTCAATAACTAAACGTCAGTGGATTTCTTTTCGTTCAATGTCTCTTTCGAAAGTGAGTGACTTTTCTATTTCTAGGAAAATAGCGATTCCACAAAATAGCAATAGACCATTATCATGTTGCGGCCATCGTGATTTTTGTCCATTTACTTCAACGCAACCAAAGCCAGGCTGGATGGTTAAAACAGTCTGGTTCCTTTTTTTGCACACAAACAAAATATCATTCAGTGCTATTATTGGGTACAGGGAACACGACTGTAATGGTAACAGCATGATAAAGGTCTATTTATAGTAACAACACCGTCGTTAGTCCATTTTCATTTCCCTATTTCTGTTCGAAAAGTAAATCGAAACCTAGATATGTAAATACGACACTAGTATGTGTTTATCAAATAGTCGGTTTTGTTTTAGTATAGTATGAACATCACGAATGCATTGGGTGTTATAGGTTGCTTTTTCCTGTTGCTATCGATGCCATGACCGTCACTATTACAGGGTGTCCTGAAAATAATGGTGCATGTAAACCCCGCCATTTTTGCCAATGTACAACCGGAATTTACTGCAAATGATTACACGATCTTCAAGGTTACAGATTTAGCTTGAGAATACCGTTTGTTTCATTGAGATTGCTTTTGTTAATCCAGAGATATGTTTGAATAACCGCAATGCCACTTTTAGGAAGCGAGTGCTTCAAAGATCAGACAATGCCAGTATGGCTCTTTTGATAAGATTATCCCTATGGGTGTAAGACAAACATTACATTCAAACAACAATATAGGGTTTTGTTCTTGTGTTGAAACAATTTAAAAGTACAGACAGGTTCACTTCTTTAAAACTTCAATGAAAGAGTTCAATTAAATATGTTGCACACTCTGCTTAAAAATGTTAAAATCACTAACAGTAAAGTGATTTGGTTTTAGACTAGGACTATACTGATTTTAACTGCTTCACAGAAAGTGGCACAAAATGGGTTTCTTGGCTTTACCGTTATTCAAACATATCTCTGGATTTACAAAAGCAATCTCAATGAAACATACGGTATTCTCAAGCTGAATCTATTACCTTGAAGATGGTGTAAGCATTCAGGACGCCCTGTATTAATAATCTTGATATTTCTGCTGTCGTAGAATTCCGTGTTTCAGCCGAATCGGTTCAAAGTCTGTAGCGTGATCGGGTCCAGTGGCATTCTCAAGGGATCACGGTGCGGGGCAGAGATAGACAAATCAGATTTCGTCTTCAGGTGAGAAGTTGTCATGCAACAATAACAAACGGTAGCGCCGTATAATCGCCCATGGTTTTATTCAACACCCATTGGTCTTATTCAACACCCATTGGTCAGTTTCACTCACGTGATGCTGACCTTCCACTGCGCACGCTCTGTGCCCATGATTTTGAGGGATCATATGGGAGCAAACTGATGATTGTTTGTTTGTCGTTTGTTTGTAGTTTTATTTTAACGGGATAACCTCATCATTTAAAAACTGCCATCCTTGAGGGCCCTGTATAAAACAACGGCAATAACTAAAAACAAAAAGCAAATAGCAACTTTGAATTATGAAGAACTACCTACAGTTTACATAGATAAGATTGAAGGGATAGTGTAATACTAAAAGTAAACAATAAATGTTTCATCAAATGCGTTAGGCCTTTATGCAAAGGTGGCTTACTGTCCAGACACTGCTGATGTATACAAAGACAAATTGCAAATTTGTCATTCATGGGTGGCTTGTGCGTAAAGCGCTCGCCTCTCACCAAGGTGACCACGGTTCGAATCCTGGCCGCGGATCACATGTAAGTAGAGTTGTGCGTTGGTTCTCTCCTGTGCCACGAGGGTTTTTCCTCCCTCCGGAAAAATCAAACTTTCGATCTCAGGCTGTGCTCCGTGGTCATATATGGGTCGATGTGGCCGGCAGCCATAGGCACCTTTATGTGCCAGCGGCGCGGCCCGACCACGTTGTAGCCGCGTCCTTTGCAATTCAGCGTACCAGCTGCGAGTAAGGATGATTAGCTTCCCAAAATTATAATTAACACACAAAAAGACGTGTTGTATTTGCGATTATATTCAGGTTTAACTTGGCCCCCGTGCGAGGATTTGAGGTCGACGTGGGGAGGAAGACGAATTTCACGACGCTGAACCCAACGTTTATCATGAAGAAGTGAGTCATCTGTTCTTTATTCGTGGATCACTTTTTTTGAATTGATAACAAGTTTGTGGTTTTATTTGTAATCATGAAGCCATTAGGCCTATCCTCTCTGAGTGATCCCGGCTATTTCCAAGATTTGCAACTTTGCTATAATGTTGCTATATTGCATCGTGACTTTGGGCGTGATCCCTGGCCATTATCGCATATACGGGCTTATGGTTTCCGACTAGCGCCCCTTGAACAAAGATATTGACAAAATTGTGAACCGCCCACACAGCGCTGCATAGCTCCGTTGGTAGAGCTCCTGAACGGCAATCCGGACGGTCACAGGTTCAAAACCTGCTCCAGTCAATTTTGTTTGGTTCGGCTTTGAAATTATTTTGTGTTTTATCACCGAACACTCACAAAAAGAATCCTCCTTTTTTTAAATCAGAGTAAATTCCATCAAGACTAAAGAGGACGAAGCGAAGATGATCGACGAGTTGCGACAGTTCCAGGAGAGTTACATGTACTTACCGGGCTTCGCCGTCAGCGGGAGCCTGCGGCTTTTGGTCAAGATTGCCGGCGTGGCAATGCGGGCCAACGTGACCAAGCCGGTCTACGGCAGCCCGGACCACTTCCTCGTGGTAGCCAACCTCTGGAGAAAGACGCTGGATACCGAATTGAAATGGCCGTCGACGGGTGAGAGACGTTTAGCCGTGCTAGTACACATCTTAACCACATACCAGATTTTGGGGATCCTGCCCCAATAAAAAAAAACGAAACCCAAATATCGGGACTTTTGTTTTAGTGAAGTGCTGCATGTAGCACTTTCAAAATCCAGGACATGAAAGCCTAATTCATAAGCTTTCTTTTAGTACAAGAATCATTCAAATCACCCATGTGCTTTTCAAGTTACGGAATTTTAAACACAATAACCGTTTTAAAGTTCTGTCCACAGATCACAAAAAAGGTGTGCGTTCTTTCAGCAAAACGAAAACAATTCATATCCACCTATGTGATTTGTTTTGGTTATGCTGAAATAACACTTAATTCCGTAACTTGAAAATTACATGAGTGATTTGAATGATTATTTTACTATAGAAAGCTTGGGCTTTCATATCTTGGAAGTGCTACATGAACTTCACTAAAACAGTGGTCCCGACATTTGGGTTTCGTTGGGTTTTTTTACTCGCCCTGTAGAGTTTCGACCGTCCCAACTACTAGACCATGTTACATGTGACGTCATACCATCGGTCAGCTGACGAGGAACGCCAACATTAAGCAGCTTTTGCCTGTCAATAATTTTGTTATGCAATATGATTTCGATTGTTAAGATTATAACTTGAATGGAAAGCATTGATGAATATTAAGAAGAAAAAAAATGAAAGCTTGTTTGAACTCTCACCACATTGTCCTTTCCAACAGGTCTCTACGCTGTGTCTTCTCTCTTTGATGCCTGCGACCGGATTCACGTCTACGGTTTCTGGCCTTTCCCAAAGTCTGTCGGTGGGAAAGCGGTCCCATACCACTACAATAATAACGTCAAACCAACTAAGGTGCACAACTTTGACAAGGAATTCAAGACCCTGTTGATGCTGCACGAAAAGGGAATCATCAATTTGCACTTGCAGTCGTGCAAGTGATGGGATGAATGGTCTTGCCTCAAATCTCGAAGAGCAAGTTCGATCAAGGGCAGTTGGCTTTTTACCAGTGGTTGACTCGTGACGCACCTTGCGCCTGCGTCATCGCGAAACCACCGGTCCCTGGCTTTCACGCATCTGTACACTGCGATACGAGCAGCAGGCAGATAACCATCGTAAAAGTCAAGTCCAAGCGTCGTCGACTCGCTTGCGTTCGAGGAGGTTAAGGCGAACTTTGTCTATAGCCGTATAGTTTTTGATCGAAGTTGCTCTTGGATTTGAAAGCAAAACAATTTATGCCATGTTTTGGAGGAGGTTCAGTCTTGGGTGAAGAGATTCCGTCTTGGGTAAAGTTCGAAACTTTAACAGTTTGGTGGGGGGGGGAAAAGAGAGAAAACAGGAAACGAAAATGACGTCTTCATATCCATGAGAGCACTGTGACTTTTGTCGCGCATAACGCGCGTATGCGTGTGACAACTGCCGTCAAAATGGCTGCCCATGGGTGAATCTTGCCTATGAGAGATCTTCGCGTGAGGGTCATGTAAATTAGCGTTACTTGTAAACAAAAAATGGCCCTACACAACTATCATGAATGGTGATATGGGAACTAGTTTGGATTGATTTGGACCGAATGGTTGATGCTGTGTGTTCTTTAACTGAAATATTTGTTTTTCCTTAACAACTCATTTTCATTCTGTTTGCATTTGAGGTGACTTAAACATATCTTCAGGGTATTTAAAAAGTGGTGGTATGTCAGAGCAATAGGTTATTAAATTTATTATATATTATGACACATAGGCTTAGTGTCTTCTTTGCAGGGTTTTTTTAATGGAAATAAAGCCATACAATGTGGTAAATTCTGGGTGATTGGCTTATTATGTGAAAGAGAATACGGCTATAGCACCATTTGTAAATGTATCCCTGCCAAAATATTTAATTATCCTGCAAACGTGCTTGGGTGTTACCAGGGGCGGAGCTAGATTACAGGAAATGGGGAGGGTTGATATGAAGTGTTGAATGCAGTGCGTGCCGAAGTCACGCCCTGCTATATAGGGATGTCAAGGGTCATAATGCGTCCGAAAAAAATTATGAAATCTTTTTATGAAAAAAAATAATAATCTAGGTTTTCCTATCCAATTTTCTAAAATGTTCATTCACTTCTGAAAATCGGTCATTCATTTTCGTCTAAATTTGAGAATCACTCTGAACACGCGTTGCGTTTTCGCAACCAGGAGAGCACTCGATTCCATTTCGGTACAATCAATTATTTGAGCAGCACCTTTCGTTTATGTCCATTAAGATTCGTTTACAAGACTTCTGTTTCGCTTTTAGAGGGCGATTTCAAACATTCACCATTCTATTTCACTTTTAGTTTAATGCCATCTGCACCAGATATAATTGGGGTTTCTCTTTCATTAACCGTCAATCAAATTAGCTGTACCTGCAACCAATTAAGAAAAGGTATGCTTGTGTAAATGAATGCACAGGTAACGTAATTTGCCGTCTGTTTCCTCAAAACCGAATGCACGGACAATGAAAACGATTGAACTTTCGTTGAATTGAAATGTTGAATTGAAATGGAATTGCATTAAAATTCCGACGAAAACAATAACCGATTTTCAGAAGTGAATGAACATTTCAGGAAATTGGCCGAGGAAACCTATAATAGCCGGCGTTAGCGCTTTTACGCCGCAACGGGGATCAAAGCGCTTTACAATTATTATTTTCCCCTGTTTCTAAGGCAATTTAAGGAAAAAAATAACAACGAACTTCCATTAATTTTTTTGGCTCCATTTTACTAGTGTCGTAACATTAATCAGCGGCTGAACGTTGCAATCCGAAGGCGGCTCCATAGAACACAATGTTTTGGGGCCAGAAAAAAAATATTTTGGGAAAAAAAATCCAGTATTGTTTTTCAACAAAATATAATGTATTGCTTTTGTTGAGTTTTGTGGTGGTGTACGCAGTGGTTGCATTTTTGCCACATAATTTAAATCTATTGGTTTTTGTGGGGGAGGGGTGGGTCATGGGCCCCCTTACCCTCCCCCCCCCCCCCCTCCTCCCGATTCCCCCCCCCCCCCGATCCGCCACTGGTTGTATTCATGTGCTTATGATGAAGATTAACAAGTATATTTTTTAAATTCTTTGGGGTATTCTATATTTTTGTACGAAGTAGTACCGTAATAAGCATCCAGGTTTTTGCATATCTTTTAAATAGACCTTTGTCTTTCTTTGTTTACAAGCAAATACATTGAAAAATGACACACACAAAAATCATGAGATCCTGGTAAAATTTTAACTGAGTTACAAACTAAAGTTATGGTGTGCCATAAGAATGCAAGGTCCATCTGGTCATCTATTATGGCAATATTTGTACAAGAACTGAAAATCAGTTTGTTTCACTGATTCTAATTATAAGTGTACGCCACAACTCATTTCAAAGCTTTGCACTTATTTTCAAATATCCCATTACAGGGTGTCCCCCCAAAAAAAATGCTCCACTCTCCTTTTTTTTACAAATTCAAGCAAACCTGAATGCGTGAATTTTCTTATTATGCATGGTAAGAATGCTATGTGTCTTGGTTGTTATCTACCCAAAAAAATGGATCATACTATCAATCCACTAGGGACAGAAATGCTTAAATATGAACTCGCCTCCATTTGCCAACTGCGCTGGGGACTCAATTCACCAATTTTAAAATGCCGATTTTTGTCAAGTGTGCTTTTCAAAAATTCTACTTGGTATCTATTACGAAAGACCAGTCATCAGTTGTTGTGAAGCAAACAAGAGAAAACCAACCAACCATGACATTGTCCATTTATTGGACTTTGACTAAAAATACCTATTTGTAAATCAACCACACGTAACAATTGTGAACAATCAGCCATAGGTGAACAAATTATTGTTACGTGTGGTTGATTTACAAATAGGTATTAGGTAATAGGTTTGCTTGAATTTGTAAAAAAAAAAAAAGGAGAGTGGAGCATTTTTTGTGGGACACCCTGTATAGCCATGCATGCATGAATCGGCAAATCCAAGAATAAGAGTATAATCTTTGTCTTTCTACATGAAAACAAGAGAAATACGGCTACAATAAAATATATCATTTAAAACCACCTGATATTATTCCGTACAATGAAAAAAAAAGAAGATAAATGTGCTGATAACTTACCGGTATGTATGCAAAACGGGTGTAAGCTCTTTGTCTTACATGATTCGATCTGTTTTGGGAGAACGTATTTTATGATATAGCAATATCATGTTTTTCTTAAAGCAATATCATTTGTTTTTCATTCGAGGAGAAAAACAAACAAACCTGTATTATCAAAGTTCAATCGCGAAGAAAGAAGGCCTCGTATGCCTCGGTTCACTTCACTGACAACTAATTAAGCACAAATGCATATACCGACAACAGATTACACAAGGCCCAACTCGGCTATTATATGCATGTACCACTAAAAAAAAACCAATGTTTTGTAGAACAGTCATTTTGTGTAATAAAGCAGAAGTTTTTAAAATTTATTACAAGGCGAAGTATCAACACTTGTCAATTATTGTCTTTTTTTCCGTGCTTATCCCTTGTTTCAGCTTATTATTGAGGTACACGCTGATCTGTTTTTGTGCAGAATCTATTACGAAGACGCAATGGATTGTGGGTGAACAAGTAGTAACTTTATGCATGACCTTTGGTTGACCGTGCTACTGACGACCAATCACAAGTGTACTATTTAGGTCGTGAAATCAGCCTGTACCCGAGGGGTGGGTAAAAAATTAGATAAGGGCATTGTAATTGAATCGCTAGTCACTTCAAAACTTCTCAGAATCTTTATTTCCACAATGTTATTACTATTCGCGGATGCATTTACCCTCTTGAGTGACAAAATATACCCATGTTGTGGAGAAGAAAGAACAAAACGAAATTTTAAAAATGATTATTCCCCCTCCCCCAAAATAGAATATTCCAAAAAGATGTCAACAAATGAACAATACAACAATGGATATTTAACCTCTGCAGGGTCATCAGCTGTAAAAGCATGTGACCAGTCTTTCCTTTGTATTTTGTGCGCACTGTGTGAAGCATATCTGTTACTTTCGATTTTTGGTCCTCTGATTGTGGTGATCGAAAAGGTTACGTATGTTACAAATAACCTTACCAGACATAATAACCTTGCCAAACATGAACTAAAAAATAGCCACGTCTCTAATACTCTGCAGCCTGGATCGGTACTCTGTGTCATTAGTTGCGAGCTAGCTAGCCCGGTCTAGTCTGTACAGTTGCATTACGGGATTTACGGTAAGACATGGTAACTGGTAAGGTAAGACTAAGAATTAGCCCAGGTTGGACTGCTTCTCAGTTTAGCTGGAGTTACCCAGCCCTGAGTTTTATCATTGGGTTGTCATCTAGGGCTGGAGCGCATTTTTCTCGTAACTTGTACTAGTATTTCACTGTATTTGCAAAAAAAATTTGGAAAATGTTCAATTTTGTCCCCGTTACACACTAATTGCAACTGCAACTCACCCCAAACTTGCCTGGAATAACCATTACACAGGTCCTTGAAGTAAAAAACGATCCACGATGAAGATTCAGCCTACAATTGCAGTGAAAACAGGAGGAATAACCGCTAACTTGACAACCTTGCTGGATTGGCCAGGACCGCTATTGGTTTGTGCACAAAAAAAAATTGTGTACAATGAATGGCGGTCGATTAACAGGCACAGAGCGATCGCTGTCAACTACTCGTTTTGCCGGCTGCGCTGGCTGTTGGCGCATGACGTCACGTGGAAGCGTAACACCCAATGACTGTTTCATGCACTATTGGTTGCGGTTCCAGTACCAAAGCTGTGATGCGAGTGGTAAACCTTATACTAGTGCATGAAACAGTCATCGGGTGTTACGCTTCCACGTGATTTCTGATTTCCACGTCATTTTTGTTGAAATTTGGGAACAATGCTTTTTTGGAAGTCCGACTTTTTGAAGCCACTCCATTCGGAGTAATTGCAGAATACCCCGCCACTCGGAAATACACCCCTAAATTCTCTGGCTACGAGGTTGGAATCACTGGAAAAGAAACAATTCAAGTCCATGCCAGCTACGCGGATACTGAGTGGGGGTCCATTATTTGAGAACGAAGCAACATAAAAGGAATGGGAGTTGCTGAAAAAAATTATAAGTCCAAACCAACCACCCTGTTGGCGGCTACGCGGATACGGAGTGGGAGTCCCCTTGAATATGCTTGAGAACGAAGCAACACAAAAGGAATGGGAGTTGCTGAACAAAATTTAAGTCCAAACCAACTACCCTGTTGGCGGCTACGCGGATACGGAGTGGGAGTGCAATGGAGGGGAAAAAACACCCAAAACCATCAATTTCTACCTTTTACCCTTGACTACACGCAGGCGCCTCCATATGATCGTACACCCAAAAATTGACCCCCCAAAAAATTACCTTCAAACCTACCCAATTTTCGAATGTCATGTAATTGGAAGCAGAAATAATTTTTTGGGGGCCCAAAGATTAAATTATCTTGAATTTTTACGCAGGTTTCTTTCTAGAAGGGTCCATATTACAAAATGCAAAACTTCAAGGTGAAGGGATTTACAGCGGCTGTTTTTACTCCAATGAAAGAAAATGGGTGAGTATGACTAGTGTGCGGTGTGTCGCCCGTCCGTCTGTACTAAAAATCAGGCGAACATTCCCTCCTCTTTAACCAGCACATTTCTCCAAAATTTTCATTGGGCAATTTTCAATTTTTTTCAACGGAGACATTTCTTCAATATTTTGCACATGAGGGGGAAGTCAAGTGATTTCAAAATGAGGCTAAAGACTAGACTGGTACATGTCCAGCCTTGGTCCAACTGTTTGAAAAGACTGACCTCTTCATTCAGTGCCATTAGTCTGGTGGCAGACTGTGGAGAAATGTGTAGTACTTAGCAGACGGGGCTCTGGAGTGCTCTGAAACGTGCAAAACTAAATCAGGCCCACTTTACTCACAGTTTAGCCAGAAAATTTTTCCAAACATTCCACTGCCAGGGCAAAGAAAATGTCGTCAGTATTTCACCAACCAAGTTTGCAGACTCAATTCAATTTTTAAAGGAGACTTTTCTTCAATATTTTGCACATGAGAGGGAAGTCAAGTGATTTCAAAATCATGAAAATGGGGCTAAATACTAGACTGGTACATGTCCAACCATGGTCCAACTATTTGAAAAGACTGACCTCTTCATTCAGTGTCAATAGTCTGGTGGCTTGACTATGGAGAAATGTGTAATGAATTGAGACTAGTTCCCGCTTCATGCCACATGTTTCTTAAATTCTTTTTGCATGGTTGATTGATGCAGTACTGAAGCTGTGTTGGACTGGTTGTTTTAGGTGCCAGTCTATTTTCTTGTATTGCATGTTTTCAATACCTTAAGTTTTGGGACTCTCATACACAGTATTGAGAGTCCCACATTTTCGGACTAAGTAATTAGATACTTAGTTCCTAACTTGGCCCATGTTTCTTTTGGCACAGTTGATTGATGCAGTATATACTGAAGCGGTGTTGGACTGGCTGTTCCAGGTGCCAGTCTATTTTCTTGTATTACAAAAGTACATGTTTTCAAACCATTCTAACTGTAGTTGGACTCATATGAACGAAAATTGTGACTATTCCATACATGTAGATGCTAGCTAAGGCATAACACTACAGTCTATAATATCATACCCATGTTAAAGGGAAAATACAACATTTGCAAACATCAAAAAATAAAACTACCAAATCATTTTGAAATACCTTGCTGGACTGTTAGTGAATGACAGTGTAAAGCATCCTGTAAAATCATGGCACCTGGTATACTGTCATTTTCAAGAAAAGTGGTATTTTTGTATCAATTTCCAACGCTGGTCGGCCGACCAGCGTTGAAAAAAACTGGCTTTTTTTTTCAAATACTGGCCCCAATTGACCATCACACTTGTTCGCAATCGATTACACACCTATGAACGGGTACAAGCCAGCTAGACTGGTTCCCTGACCTTACAATTCCCCAATGTATGTAAACTGCTCTGTTTCTTCTTATATGGAGTCAGGGAACCAGACTACAGGAAAATTATTGTTTTTCTTGGTTTTTATAGCATTTTCGAACCCAAAACCTCACAAAAGTCAGTGTAACTATACCGTAGGCCTATTTGCTATATATTTCCAACCCCCCAATTCCATCCATTTCTGAAAATTACAGCAAAAGCAAATGATGTATATTCCCTTTAATTGATACACAACGCAGCCCTCATTTTTCTCGTCCGCCTGCATTTTTATCAGCCTGGGTCCAACGCTGTGACTCACAAATTGTTATATTTTCAATGTATGTAAATGTAGAATTTATAACACTTCACTGATTTTATTACAAAACCAGTGAAATATTTTAACAGTCCTTCCTGTTGTTAAACAGTGTCTCTTTTTTTCTCTGCTGTACGCGAAACATGAATTGTTATATTTTCAGTGTATACGTAGAATTTAAAACAGTGACTGATTAAAGAGAATATACATGATTGGCTTTTGCTGTAATTTTCAGAAATGAACTATTTGAGGGGTAATAGATCAAATATTGTTAGACTGACATGTTTGAAGGTTTGTGTTTGAAAATGCTGGAAAAACCAAGAAAAACAAAAATGTTCAAGTAGTCTGGTTCCTTGACTCCACTAAAGATAAAATGGATCAATTTATAAATGCCGGAAAATCGTAAGGTAAGGGAACCAGTCTAGTTGGCCTGCACCCGTTCATGAACATGTAACCAATAGCAAACAAAATTTGGACTGAAAAGGTGTAAAGTTGGAGCAGTAATTGAAAAATAGTTAGGTTTTTCCAACGGTGGTCGGCCGACCACCATTGGAAATGTATACAAAAATACAATTTTCTTGAAAATGACTTCACACCAGGTGCCATAATTTTACAGGATGCTTTAGACTGTCATTTACCAACATCCTAGTAAGGTATTTTGTAAAAACTTGGTAGTTTTATTTTTCGATGTTTGCAAATGTTGTATATTCCCTTTAAACAGTGTCTCTTTTTTCTCTGCTGTACGTGAATCATGAATTGTTATACATGTATTTTCAATGTATGTGTACATAGAATTTAAAACAGTTGACTGATTTTATTACAAGAACCAGTAAAATATTATTTGCAATCCTGCCTCTTTTTTTTCCGCCAGTGATATCAATTTAGAAGCAATTGATCAGTACGCAACTCAACTGGTGGCAGATGGAGTACGCAATATTTTCCGTAAGTGGCAAATTTTTTTTTGCGAGATGATTCAAAATTAATCAAAAAAGTTATAGATTTTTAAGTTTCAGTATCTTGCTGCGTGCTGATTGTGTGAGTTGGCTGCAGACTTTAAGATTAACCCTAACTCCTTAGGCCTTTTTGCTAGGATGTAGCCTCAATCCTGCAAAACCCTCCAATTGGCCCTATGGAAAAATAGCATATAGCCTCAGTCCTACAAATTCCTCCATTATTTCTTGAATGTGGTCCGTGGAGGGGTGACCACTACCTGAATCCTGCACAATCCTGCGGCAGTGACTGTCAATATGTTGAGGCTTGGCCAGTGACATCCTGGAGCAGTACGGAGGATTTCAAGCATAATCCAGGCCTATATTTATGCATGGCTGAGCAAAAGCAACACAAGGTCCGGCCCAAGACCTTGACAAAGTGCATATATTCTGTCAGCAAGAAGAACTGGGATGAGGACAATATTATTTTTGATATCGTCCTCATCTTGGCATTTCAACACATTTCGCTGGTTCCCGCACAAGCGAGAGCGTAGAAACGCACAGTCGTCAACCAGTCCACAGAGCGTAACGCGTGGACGCAGCACGCAGCAGGGTATACGCACACTGTTGTCAACAAACACAATGACAGCCTCGAGCGGGCGTGTAATTTGCTTCAGTTGGCAAAGAATACTCAACGAAATTTGAGAAATAAAGACAGCGTCCTGAAATTTATCACTTGCTGGTCCAGTCAGTCTGATATAAATACATGTAATAATAATATTGGATGGCTTTTTGGAGGATACAAGAATATATTGCACTCGCTACAACAATATTGCACTTGTCTGTGACCCATGAAATATTGTTATACTATAGCTCATGCAATATATTCTTGTATCCCCTCAAATCCATCAAGTATTACATGTATTTACGCCTTTTTTAAATACATTACAGCTTGCGGAACAACGGGTGAAGGGGCATCACTGACAGTCAACGAGAGAAAGCAGATTGCCGAAAAATGGCTACAAGTGTGTAACAAGAGGTAAATAATGAGTGAATTTATTAAAGATTGTATGAAACCTGATAAAAAATAGTGAAACTGGATAAGTAAATTGTCAGAATTGTTGTAGTCTAGGTCTTCGCCATGAGACCACGCGGCTACCGATGTCAGTGCACATACGGTCCTCTACCCTCACAGGTACCCATTTATACTCCTGGGTGGAGAGAGGCAATTGTGGTAAAGTGTCTTGCCCAAGGGCACAAACACCATGTTCCTGGTTCGAACCAAAACACCATCATGTTCGTTTGAAGCAACAAACGTGCTCAAAATCTAAAGAAAGGTGCTGAACAACTAACCTGATAAAGTTTCAGCTCAGCTTTAGCTCAGTGTATATTCCGAGACAAACAGCTTTCTAGGATCTCGATTTCAAATCAAAATTTGCTGAATCGTGTTTTGAATTGGGCCTGAATTCAGCATCCGAGACACATTCTTACAGCGCCGATTGCAGCTACGCGATGTCGCGCACCGCTCCGATGAATTATAGCAACCGCGTGTGCATCGTGTCTACGCTTGCGCGCACTTCGCCGAGTAAAAAACGAAGTACTAACAGGAATTTTCCAGTGGTGCGTCTAATTAAGTTGGAAAGGCCTTCTTTCATTGATTTCTTCAAATTGACAGCTTGCCAGAAAGTATAATTTCACAGGGAGTTTAGTCCCAATACTTCCTTTCAACAAAGTATGTTTTTCAACAATAATTACATTAGTCACTTTTTGGATAGCTGCAAATGCTGGACTGTAGCTTTAATAGTATTAATCAAGTTGTAAAGCATTCAAGATGGATTTGTGGTGTGCGTTTCAGATTTGATGTCATCATGGTGCATGTTGGAGCTGACTCCCTCAGAGATACCCAGAATCTGGTAGGCAGAATGAAGTTTTTTGATAAATCATTTCCCAAATTGAAAATCATGACAAACTTCTTCACCATCTCTCTAAAACCAAATTATGTCTGACTGATGGGGTTGTTTTTATTGTTGTTTATTCATTATGTTCATTAATCCATTGTGTGTCTGACTGTTTGTTTGTTTTCAAGCTGTTGCCTTTATGATGTACATGTATAATGCCTAGTGACCATTTTTGCTTGGGGCATTAACCCTATAAGGGCCGGGTTATTTTGACCATCTCTCAGCTGGGGGGGGGGGGGGGGGGGGGGGGTAGCGCCAGAAAATGTTTCGCTGCGCGGCAACCCATGGTCCGATTTTTATGTTTTTGGTATCAAAAGATGCACAAGGCAAGAGCCTAAAAGGTCATAACAGCTCGGGTCGTGGAAAAAAGTTTCAAGGCTATCGCTATCCCCCCCCCCCCCCCCCCCCCCCCCGCCCTTTTAGGGTTAACCCATAACTCCCTAGGCATTTTTGCTAGGTTGCAACCTCAATCCTGCAAAATCCTCCAACTGCCTCCATGCAAAATACTGCATACATGACAGCCTCAATCCTAAAAAATTCTTCGTTTCTTGAATGTGGTCCTTGGAGGGATGACCACTGCCTCAATCCTGCAAAGTCCTCCCCTGTCATTCAATAAATCACTGTCAATATGTTTTCATCCTTTTTTTAGGCATCTCACGCTGCCGACATAGAAGCCGACGCGATATGTGTCGTGTCACCAACTTTTTTCAAGCCACAGTCCGTTGGTAAGTTGAAAAAGATATCATACCTTTGTCCAAAATTAAACATGCTCACAGAAGTTTTGAGAATCTTCACATTGCATGAATATTGTGTCCGAAAGAACATCCCAATCCTGTACTCTGATTCTGTGCTCTGTTCAAGACGTTCAATTTTGTCACTAAGTGATCCAAGTATTGATAACAGCAATGGTCGTTCCTGTTCATAATGTGCTGTTCAAAAAGATGACAATGCTGCATGTACATGTGACAGCATAATACTACGCTGCAGTAATTTGTCATGAAGATCTTTTGTACATGAAAGTCCACAGAAAATTTTGTGACAAAAGTGGGATCCAGTAATCAGAAAAGTAGCCAATCAAGAGCCACAAATTTTTAACCAATGACTGAGAAGGTTTGGAAGGGTAACCAGCCAATCAGAGATCCTGTTCTATGATACGTGGAAAAGCATGGCTGTGGGCCAATGAGCAGTAGGGTTGGTTCTTAACATCCTAGAAGTTGAAAGTTTAGGCGGGAAGGGAAAGTTGCTAGGCTCAGTATGCTGAAGTCTGGGGCCGTATTCACAAAACAACTTAAGTCATGAAAATGTAAGCACCCCACTAATAAATATGCGACTTAGACAAGTCTTGATATTAAAGCAATAATCATGAAACATTTTCACTAAGTGCCCCTCTTATTTCCGTGACTTGAATCAAAGTGTGGTCTGGACATGTCTTCAGTCAAGGTAAGTGGGGCACCAGGGTGTCATGGCGGCTTTATTTCTGTTCCTTTGGTTTGAATTTTTTAGGCACAAAATTGGACATTTCTAGGGGCTAAGGGAAACCTTGTCAATATCGAATTATTGTAAAAGGAACCCAAATTGAAGCTAATGTGTGACAGCCCAAGATTTTTTTTTTTTTCTGTTCAGTTCATTTCCAGTAATAAAATGTTTTTGAAATGTGATGCGCATGAGCAAAAGTGATTGCTTAAGTTAAGTTGAGCACTAAGATAAGTAGAGTGCTTAAATCTTTTGTGAATACCAAACTATGAGGCGCCCCACTTCAGCAGGGTGCTTAGATTTTAAGTGTGACTTACAAAAAATGTAAGTGTTGTCTTGAGTTTGAGTTTTGTGAATACAGCCCCTTGTGCTTAATTAGTCTCGGACAACATTGTCCTGGGCCACCGCCTGTCTGTTTTGTGGAGTAATTGGTGCTGGATATTGGACAACATCGTTCTCTACTGCTTAGAGAGATTTGGCGTTTGCTTTGTTGTTTATGGGCGATTCCACGGTTACATCACGTTACATTTTCGTAATGTGAGTAACCCATTTTGTGCGTCTTGTTTATCATACATAACACGTTTTTCTGGATGTCATCTTTGGTGCTTAGGTAGGTCTAGGTCTACTCTACCTACCATGGGGATAACAGTTATTAAATCTTTTTAGTAAGGTAATTACAGCCCAAGGAAACTCAAAAGTAAATCAAAAATGTAACTTGAGTAACCGTGGAATGGCCCTTATCAATATTAGTCCGTTGGTATTGAAGTTGAGAAATACATGTAGCAGACTTCGGCCTTGAACATATGCCCACAGAAGTTTGGAGAGATTTTGCACTACATGATTATTGTGTCAATAGAACAACCCAGTCCTGTAGTCTGATAATGTGCGCTGCAGACATGCAAACAGTATGAGTGTTTGCCTGCCGGTAGTTGTCAAAATGTTCCAGAGTGCAGATCGGAGGTCATACTGGTAGAACATTAATACTGCCCACCTGTCCATAATACCGGTTTCCGGTACGTGTACAGTAAAAGAGATACATGTACATGTAACTTTGATCATACACTGTATACAACATTTATGTTTTTGGTATCAAAAGATGCGCAAGGCTAGAGGCTAAAAAGTCATAACAGCTCGGGTCGTGAACAAAAAAGTTTCAAGGCTATCGCTATCTGCCCCCCCCCCCCCCCCACACAGAAGTTTGGAGAGATATCGCACTACATGAATATTGTGTCAATAGAACAAACCGATAGTCTGATAATGTGCGCTGCAGCCGTGGAAACAGTATGAGTGTTTGACTGTTCCAGAGTGCAGATCGGCGGTCATACTGGAAGAACAAATACTACCCACCTGTCACGTTTAGTACAAATGTATGCATACTGGTTTCCGGTACGTGTACATTGATAGAGATATGTACATGTAACTTTGATCATACACTTGTAATTATAGGGAATATACAACATTTACTTTTGCCGTAATGTTCAGAAATGGATGGATTTGGGGGGTTAGTATTTTATAGCAAATAGTGTTACACTGACATGTTTGAAGTTTTATGTTCGTAGATGCTGGACAAACCAAGAAAAACATTCATGTTCCTGTGGTCTGGTTCCCTGATCCCACGTAAAATGAAACGGTGCAATTTATAGATGTCGGTGAATTGTAAGGTCAGGGAACCAGTCTAGCTGGCTTGTACCCGTACATATAGGTGTGTGATCGATTGCGAACAAAATGCGAACAACGCTGGTCGGCCAACCAGCATTCATGGCATTGGAAAATGATACAAAAATACAAGTTTTCATTAAAATGACAGCACACCAGGTGCCATGATTGAACAGGATACTTTAGACGGTCATTCACTAAGGCCACTAAGGTTTTTGGTATGCGCGTCGCCGTAGCCATGCGCGTCGGCAAAATGAAAACTTTTTTTTTTCAATGAAAGATGATGTCTCAAAACCGCCAAACTCACTGGTTTGACTGGAATCCTGCTGCTGCACAATTTTAACGTGTTTTTAGATGGGGTTATGATCGAGAATAAGCTTTATGTGGCCTCTCTGGTCTCCCATAATATTTGCACTAAGTTTAGTCGGGCACCATTTGCAGTCATCAGCCGACATTTGAAGCAAAAAAAAAACGGGTAAAAAAAAAAAAAAAAAAAACGCGTCGCTGTACCACTTTTTAGGCAAGCTCCATACCAGAAACCGGAGACTTTTTTTTTGGGCCTAACAGTCCACTAAGGTATTTCATAATAATTCAATAGTTTTGTTTTTTGATGTTTGCAAATGTTGTTTTCCCTTTAAGGATTGTTGATTTTGTTCTTTTCCCAGATCTTCTGCTCCAGTACCTGAGAGAAGTCAGTACTGCTGCCCCATCGTTACCTCTGTATTACTACCACAACCCGGGACATACTGGACTCAATTGTAAGCATCAGTTTTTGGCTCAGTAATAGACTGTCAACGTTAGTCTGGCACACGTGCGACTAGCACACGTTGAACAAAGACACTGACAAAGTGAGGAACCGCCAACATAGGGCTGGATAGCTCAGTTGGTAGAGCACCGGAACGGTAATCTGGAGGTTGCAGGTTCAAACCCCGCTTCAGTCAATTTCCTTGTTGAACTTTAAAAAAAAAAAAAATCATTTTAAATTTTTTTTGACATAGGCAAACTTTCTGGGGTATAAATCTCGTTCAAATGACGTCATTTCCTACGTACCATCCACGGTGCTTTGGCATTTTGAGCATCAACTTGCATAATGTGCATCAGCTGCATCGTATTTCGAACATATTTCAAGCAACAAGCAAGCGTGTTTGGGACATTTTCAACACTGCGCAATGTGTGCTAATGATTGCGTAAAATACGCAGTTGCAGTTCTCCTACAGAGATGGCCATCATTGAACGCGCCCTATTGTTTTGGGTAGGGTCAGGGGGTAGCAAAGCCCGAATCCAATTAAACACTTGCAATTGGTTTCCACTGTAATTCAAAAAGAAAATGCTGGCTACACTTATGCTTTGGCTGAAATCAGAGAAGGGTATGCAGTTGGCTTAACATTTCATCGTAATATGATTGTCTTGGCTTTTAACACAGTTTCATTGGAATCCATCTGGGAAGGACTGAAGAAAACGCCTGTCCCGACGCTTAGGGGAGTGAAGTTCACCAATTCCAATTTCTACGACATGGCCCGAGTCCAGAAACTCGCCGGCGACAAACTGCAAATCCTGTACTCCACAGATGAGGTACGGTAAACGAATTTTAGCCTTGATCTTGATCCAATATATGGCAACAGATCTGGTGGAATCCATGAAGAGATTGGAGTGGTCATCAGATGCATGCATTGTGAAGTGAATTAGGGTCCCCTTTTCTGATAAAATCTTTGACTCCGTCTTTCAAGACGTTCATAGTTGATGCTGTCGAGTCCATCAGAAATCTGCACACCAGCACACCAGCATGCATTTGCTTACAAATACCGCCTCATGGAACAAGGATGATCCTAACTGTTGAATAGTATTTCCCATTCCCCATGAGCGAATGGGATTTTTTGAGCCCCAACGCGAATGGGAGCAATAACGAATGTCACGTGATGTGAGTTCCACCAATCACATGACAAGGATCTGCATTTCAGTTATATAATGTGATTTTAATAGTCATGTTAGTATGTTGCATTAATAAGTTTCTTTGTTTTTCTTATTCCCTCCTTCCTTGTCTGTAGCAACTACCTTCAGCCTTGGCCATGGGCATAGAAGGATTCGTTGGAAGGTAATTTTTGAACAGTAAAAACAGTACTCACCAAAGATTTGTGGGGAGTCAGGTTGGCGTAGCGGTACTTTCCTTGCCTTCCACCGCTGTGACCCGGGTTCGAATCCCGCCTGGGCCAATATGTGGATTGGGTTTTCAGTCCCTGCCTGATTCCTTGGGTTTTCCCCAGAATATTATTCTGGGGTTTTCCTCCCACCTCCAAAACCGTAATTTCTTCTCATTGCCTTCTCTCTACAGGTTTCCTCAGGCTTGCGAGCTACATTGCGTAGGGCGCCTTTGAGGAATCCTTGGTTTCATTACCAGAAAGTCGAGGTTATACCTCTTTTCAGAACCATTTTCTTAGTTGAGAAATTTTTCCCAAATGGTGTTTCTGCAAACCTTTCATTCATTAGTATCTCTACCATGCAGAGCCTCAAATCTTACTTATTACCAGAAATGATTAATAATAATAATAAGGGAATAAATGTGTGCTCCAGAGGTTTATATCACTCGTTTAATACCGCTTAGAGTCTGGGTGCTGATAATTACCCGAGCCGGAGGCGAGGGTAATTATCAGCACCCAGACTCTAAGCGGTATTAAACAGAGTGATAAATACCGACCGAGCACATATTTATTTCCATTCATAAATACCTTATCCGTAAAAAAATATCAAATAATTCGTTCAAAAAATCCCGATTTTGTTCAACAAGTTCACTTCATGCTTTTTGAAACATCCCTCTAGCAAAATAATGGAGTGTTCAGCTGGCGAGTAAGATGTAAACAACCCTTTTATGGAGGTTGACGCGCGCGTAGCATGTTCTGCGCGATGTCACGCAGAACGCACCTGGGGTGTTGCGTTTTGAATTTAGAACTATAAAATTCCGACTCGCTTGTAGTGTTGCGCATGCCTACGTGAGGATTGTGAACGTTCAACCAATGAAACGGTAAGAGGCACTGGATTTTTAGGAGTCCACATTTTATTGTGACACTGGAAAAGTGTTTAAGACCAGCTAGCCATGTCTTTATCATCCGTTTAAGACCGGCCACGTGACGGGCTCTCGACCAATAGGAATAGCTAAACTGTCAGGTATTTATGAATAAAGATTTAATCCACAGTCTCTACTCCTACCCCAAGAAACTTATGACTTGATTTTATATTTGTCAGTTTATTTCTAACAGTGGTTTCTGTGCAATTACTTTTCACCCAGCACTTACAACTATGCCGGCAAAGGTGCAAACCGAATGTTGGAGGCTTACAAGAAGGGAGACATGAAGGCAGTTCAGAAAGAATATGTAAGTGACAAGTCACTTTTTGGATTTGAACCCTGAACTTATGCTTACATTTGAACCAAAATCTGGGTGCTCTCTTAAGATTTGAAGGCCTGCTATTGCAACTGAATGACCGTTGCTTATATCACTTGCCCAACAGGACACTAAACCACACTGCTAGGTCAGGGAGGAAAAAAGGGCCATTCAGTCAAAAAGTCAAAACAGATCAAAATGACAAATCGAAAATTCACAATTTCCAACAATTGTGTTCAACTATTTTACGTCATGTTTTGGTGATGTTTATGGTATGTGCTTCACGCGAGTAGTACTAAAATCTCCTTTGCACGTGACGCAACTTCAATGTGGCGCAGAATGCAGCAGTGCCTGTGTAGTGTGAATTGACGACAATGAAATACGGACTCGTTGGTAGCATTGCGCATGCCTAAGTGGAGATAATAAGGAGACACCGGAATGTGACACCAGAACCAGGCGGCGTTTTATCAACCACCCACGTGATGATGGACTCTCGACCAATAGAAATGGGTAAACTGTCTTACGTATTAATGAATTGTCATTAAAAGGGTCTCGAATGATATTTACTTGAAATGTTAAATCGTTTTTCTTGCATTCTTTTTGTTTTCTTATTTCAGGCGATGTACCTGTCTTTCATTCCATTACTTTTTAAATATGGTATGTATATTGAGTCTTCAATAGCTATGTCCTGCAATTCAGTTGTTTTAGTGAAGTTCTGCTTGTAGCTCTTTTTTTTCAAAATCTAGGATATGAGAGCCCAATTCATAAGCTTTCTTTTAGTACAAGAATCATGCAAATCACTCATGTACTTTCCAAGTTACAGAATTTTAAACACAACCACCGTTTTAAAGTTCTGTCCACAGATCACCATAAAGGTGTGCATTCTTTCAGCAAAATGAAAATAATTCACATAGGGATGAAAACAATTCACACACATCCCTATGTGATTTGTTTTCGTTTTGCTGAAAGAACAATTACCTTTTTGCGATCAGATAAAAACTTTGTCCATGGATCCGCATGAGATTTCAATCTTAACGTGCCTGTTTCCTCTTGCAGGTGGCAATGTTGGCGTCAACAAGGGCCTGATGAAGCTGGCCAGGCTCTCCAAAATCGGTCCTGCCCGCCTCCCCAACCCAACACTGGACGACAAGCAGCTGCAAAGCATGGACGAAGACCTGAAGAAGATTGGCTTCTACGAGTGGATCAACTAGAAAGTGCAGTGTATCCACTAGAAAGTACAGTGTATACACTACTTGTAGTCCATCAACTAGATGGAGTGGATCAGTAATTGAATCTACTAGTAGTGAAATGGATCAACTAGAACATCCACTAGTGGAGTGGATTAAATAGTCCACCAAACGAAAGTGGAGTGGATTAAAAAGACCACCAACTAATCAATAGTGCACTATTGATAATTTGGTGGTCTTTTTAATCCACTGAGTGGATCAACCAATATAGCTACTAGTTGTGGAGTCAACTAGTACATATTGTCATACATGCACTAGTGGTGGACTGGGTCTACTAATCGTTGAGTGGATCAAATATTCCATCAACTATAAGTGGAGTAGATGAACTTTTCAACTACTAGTGGATCAAGAAATTGGATCCACTGTAAAAATCATGGTCGCAGATTACCATGAACAAGCTTAGTGCTGCCAAGTGGTCTGAAGGGAATCAAGACACTTGCAGTATGATATTGATTGTGTTGGTGAGAAATATGAATTTTACCCATTTTTCCTGAAAGTATTAAGCATTGATGAATGTATGGGGAATTACCACTTCGTGCTAGGTTTATTTTTGCCCAAAATTTGGATTTTCGCAAAAGGCAAAAGTTCCCAGCCAATTTCTGAATATTAGGCCAAAAAAAAATAGGTCGGTCGATTTTAATCATGCACGTCGATCTTTTTTTTTTCCAAAATGTTCCACGGTAGCTCAAACAGCGCCCTCTATTTCCGCACCTCCTCAATTTTTTTTTTACCAAAGAGCACCAAGGAATGGGAAACTGCACCAAGGCAAATGATCGAAAGGGGATGGAGGACACCAATGTACATGAGGACACCAAAAAAGCAAAATAGTACCCCACCTTGTCTGTACAATCCAAGCTTGAAGAAAAAAAAAAAAAAGCCGCGTGGCCGCGTCAGTTCCGGAACTTTGGTCTGACCAGAGACCAATTTTTTTGGGGGGGGCCTTACAGCCACACGCTACACACTGATTCGCAAGAGTGATTTCAACAGTATTAATTCGTACAATATTTCTTGCCGAAAACCTCATATGTTTCAATGCTCCGAGGTGTGCAGCGGAGCGTAAATTGTACAATAGGCCGTACGTGCACAACAGCCCGCACAACGGTCAACACACGGACCACCTCCACAGACTACACGGACTTTGTGTGTGTGTGTACAAAAGGCACGAGGGATTAGCGTGTTTTGACGTCACCCGGAGGCGTATCGAGGCAATCTTGATGTCTTAACCCGTCAGGCCCATGCCTGTGTGCAAAAACAGCCAGGGCGTGTTGTCACGTACGTCCTCAGGTGCGAACTGGTTGAGAGATTGTTTTTCTTAATACGTCAAGATTCAAATGAAAGTTCAGTTGCTCAATTTACACACTGATTTCATAAATTTAAATCAAGTCACTTTAGTCAATCGCAAGTCACCAAGTCCAAAGTCGTGTGACAATTAAGCCTTATGAACAGTGCAAAAGTGTTTGTTGTGGCCACTGTTCATCCACTGCTTCTCTAACAGACATGTGACTTGTCATTGACGTGTGATTGACTTTACAACTCTATCTGCCCTGTTTACATGTGGAATACCTACTTGCCAAATGTGCTCTCATCTCATAGGTCCAGCTTGCCTGTTTGAGTACACTTGTACACGCTTGTTTAAACCAACTAATTGTGCTGTAACAAATGCCAGTTTTTGGTTTTTTTGAGGTTTAATAACATGTATAGACAGAATTACATTTTTTTTGGTTTTAATTTATCAAGTATAGTTGTTTTTTTTCTAGTTGCACTGCCAGTGTTATTTTGGGGGGAGTTCTTTGGAGATCCACAAAGATAACATGTACATGTAGGTGAGTCAGCAAACCTGTGCCATATGCTGTACTTGTCAATAAAGGGCAAATGCTCCCCTGCTGACGCTCAGAAAAATGATAAATTGAGAAAATAATGAAAGAGTTAAGGAATTTCGGGGAAAAATTTGCTTTGTCCCCCCCCCCCCCCCCCCCCGGGAAAAATCCTGGCGACGCCCATGTTTACAACTTGCCTGCAATCTATTCATGTGAAAATCAACAAGTGAAAAACAGTAATTAAACAAAGCTTTCATTAAATGGTTGTACCACGTTAGTAGGCAAGTCTCGTAGCAGCTGTGTAGACCACTTATCTGCTATAATCAATTATAAAACCTGGTGTTTTTAAGCTTGCCATTTGTGTTATATTGACACACAGAGTACATTGTACTTCTGGTCGTGTAATGTAATAACTACAAAAATATCCTGCTCACAGCTGTTGCCATTTTGTTTGGCCGCAATAACATATAAAATGTTTATTTTTGAAATCGACAATCATTTATTTTTTTTAGAGGTGCGCTCTCTTCAAAAAAAGTACAACTGCAACAGCTGGACTAAAGTAAATAAACACAGATGTCTTTCTTTTGTCCTTTTCCCAGTATAATTATTGCTGTGGTTAGGATTTGAGTCATCTCTTTTTAGCTTTTTTTGGGGGGGGGGTTTGTTTGTTTGTTTTTAGACATTCATGGACAACTTGGTGTACTTTTATATTTACACATGTTACATTATAAACTAAGTCTATTTTGATGCATGTACATGTACAGTATTACTTCCAATGTTTTTTTTTTTACTGGTTTGTGGAGTACATTTTAAAGTACCAAATTATTATGAATACTTTAATACTTGATTGTCGGTGAATGCTATTTTCAAGCATCCTATGAAATCATACCACTTGGTATGCTGTCATTTTTAAGAAAAAAAAAAGGTTTTTTTTTTAATTTTCTTGTGATTACTATGAACATCTTCATCCCTTCAAAATTCACTAAAAGTCCATTTCTCCGTGAAAAGCATCTTTAAGAGATGTTTCACGGACATTCCATGGGGCTTATATACTGGACTAATCCTGTAAGGGTATTTTCACGGTTTTTTAATGACCCTGGCCACTGAGGATTATCATTGGTTATACATAACGGTACACTGGGTCTATCTCCATGGGTAAACAAAGGACTTTCTTAAGGGTGTTTTCACGAACTCCTAATCTGGCTTAATATGTTGAAAAATCCGTAAAAATTTAGTTAAATTTCAAGGGAAAATGCTCTTTAACGACTTTTTAAGGGAGGAAGATGTTCATCACCTTCGCAAGGAAAGGATGGTAATTTCTCTTTTCTTGAAAATGACAGCGTACTCGTCGCAACAATATCACAGGATGTTTGATCCTATTATAAACGTACAATCAAGTACTAAGATATTTCATCATGTTTTTTTTTTACATGTTTGCAAATACTTTAGTACATTGTACAAGCATTTCATACCATGTATACTATTGCGATGTAATTGTATTACACATGTAATACGTATTACATGTATACGTATTGCAATGTAAATGTATTACACATGTATACATATGTATTACACATGTATACATATGTACGCATATCTGGAGGATTTTATAACAGTGCCTTTTGAAGATGTCTCGATGCTCAAAATGAATTTCTAAAATAATGTTTAGCCACGGCATTGTAATTTGTATGTATACGAACTTCCGCCTGATTGGACGGATTGTTGAGATTAATTAGTTTAAAAATGTAATTATTACAATACTAAAGAACATAATTCCTCTTCATATACCCTTAAGGAGACATTTTTGTCGTCATTATGACGTAAGTTATACCTCAGTTAGCTAAGTACTCTGTACTCTGAAGAAAGTATTCGACCACAACGCTGACATGTACTATTGTAAAACTTTTGGAAAAATACTGAAGGCTTAGTTTCATATTGTAGTGGTAATCAAATAAGTTAAAAGCAATGCAAGAATTTTGAATTTGAATTTAATAATTAAGAAATGAAATTTTATTGGAACAATTTATTGAGGTTACGGTTCGAAGAGTAAAAAATATACAGTCATTCAATCAATCATAGTTATTAATTAAGGTGAATTTGTACGGGTGGGATTTTCACTTTAATGTAATTCTTTATAGCAAAATATATTGAATTTCTGCTTTGAGTCTATTACGGTTCGAAGAGTAAAAATTATAGTCATTCAATCAATCATAGTAATTAATTAAGGTGAATTTGTACGGGTGGGATTTTTACTTTAATGTAATTCTTAATAGCAAAATATATTGAATTTCTGCTTTGAGTCTATTTTTATAATAAATTCTAATTGCTGTAATCCTAACTTTCTAATTCTATATTGAAATTTTTAAAGGTTGTAAAAGGCTCTATCTGTAGATTAGTCATAGTGATTATTAAAGTGAGCAATACTGTGAAAAGTAGTGTTGACACACTGAGCTCTTTCGTCTTGAAAACCTGATAAGATACAGAAATGTGCTGAAATGCACTATAAAGGGGTCAGGTTGGCGTAGCGGTACTTTTCTCGCCTTCCACCGCTGTGACCTGGGTTCGAATCCCGCCTGGGCCAACATGTGGATTGGGTTTTCAGTCCCTACCTGATTCCGTGGGTTTTCCCTAGAATATTCTTCTGGGCTTTTCCTCCCACCTCTAAAACTGTAACTTCTTCTCATTGTCTTCTCTCCACAGGTTTCTTCAGGCTTGCGAGCTACAGTACTTAGGGCACTTTTGAGGGATCCTTGGTTTCATTACCAGAAAGAAATAAAATAAAAGTAAATATAAATTGTGTTGGTTATGAAGAATTTAACTTCACTTTCTCATAGAGAAAGAAGGTAACGTTCTTTTGAATTACATAGCAAATGTTCAATGTTGCCATTTACATAAACAAAATATACAAACAAACACTTTGTTTAATATGATATGTGAACATTTCATCAAATTCTGTTCCATTCAATTAAACGGACATTGCGTCCAATTGGGCTACAAAAGATATTTTAAACAAAATGATGTTAATTGGAAAGAACATTTGAAAGTAGGATATAAACATCCACACAACTATCTTTCAAACAACATAACGTGAAACACACACAGCCTGTACCGTACGGACACTGCTGAAAATACATATGCGTATGCCACAAAATGTCCGCCGCGTCCCATGTAAGAAATCAGCTTTTCTTTTCTTTTCCTTTCCTTTCAACCAGACCACTGAAATATGATAATTAAACAATCCAAAACATAAAATTTTCCAGAAATTTCAGACTGTAATTCCCTTTTAAGGTGAAAAATCAACTTGCAACTGCACAGACTTTAAAGAACTAAAGTCCCTTTTGTTTCCAGAACAAAACAGGCTGTGATTAATTCTGCCTGCAACTTGCCGTCAAAATTGTAATATTAAAGTTTACTGTAACTAAAATGGCACACACGGTGGTAGAAAAAGACAACTTTTTCATTCAGAAAAGTGTTAAAAAAAAAAATTGTGCAGCGTTTCGAAAATAGTCCCTTTCGAAGTATCAATCACACAAAGTGGAATATTGCCACATGTAGATCCGAACTACGATAAAAGTTTCAATACGCATTTAAAGTTCGTCACCCGTAGGTTTCTTCCTGCCCGTAGACTTTTTACCGTTGAGATCTGCTGGATTCGGTTTGATAGGTTTGGCTTTTTTACCATCTTGAACTATGACCTTGGGCCCCTCGGCCTGCTGCTTTTTGCCGTCTTGGTTAATTTTCTTGCCCTTGGGGGGCTTCTGGGAATCGGTCTTTGGGACGGACACTGCACAGCGGAAGCCCATGTTGTCCGAGCCGGCGTCGGGCGTGTTGCCCGTTCTGAAAAAGAAAAACAAAGTATTGCAACATTTCCCTGTATTTCAGTCCATGTTCTGTCCCGCACTTCCCTGCCCGTTACTCACTGTACTGCCAAAAACCACCCAGCACTATATGGTTCTGTGGGTCATCAAGAGTGGATGCAATACATTTTGTATAATGTCATTATCCGATGCCTGAATAAATCCCTGTCATCTGAACGGTAGGCTGTTTACAGCATGTCGCTGAATTATTCGTCCCAACCCCATGTAACGGCCTTGCCGCAAAAATAGAAGCTCTATTCCACGGTAAAATGGTGGCTCTGATCAATTGGATGATGTTTATTCAGGTGTTGTATAAAACAAATAATTAATGTTTCACATTCCATCTGTCGCCTCATGAAATTATTCTCACCATTGCACTCATAAACATTCCTTATTTGTAATTTATAGAACAATTAACTCAAGACAACTAAAATAGATTATGGTGTCGGACATGCACACTTTATGAACTAATTTTCAAGTGGCTGGCATCTTAACTTATTTTGAACCACTGCTACAGTCGAACCTTTGCATGGACTCGTTTTTAACAGTTTCACACTCCAAATCTTCAACAAAAATTAGTCCCCACGTCTGTAAAGCACCTGACTGAAACGGGTGTAAAGTTAATCTTACTTTGTTATGCGCATTTTTGACAAATGCAAACTCAGTCTGAACGGTTCCTGCACCGAGCCAGTAGACTCTAAGTTGTCCTGGTTCAGATGTCAAAGGTCAAAGGTCATGCATGCATTGTAAATTCATTGAACCCACCTGGTTGTGACCCTGACTTGATGGTTGAAGGAGCCATCCTTGGAGTCGATGTAGGAACCTCCTCGTAAGACGTACTTGGTGTTCTCTGTTTCTTCCGCGTCGTCATCGCCGTCAAATCGGGATGAGGTCCACTCCCACACGTTGCCAACCATATCATACAGGTCTGACAACAACAAAAAAAGATCCCAAATAAAAGGTTTTTTTAGGATTGCAGATGCCCAAATTGAAATACTTATCTTTCTTTTTCTTTTTAAATAAAACACACAAGTGGAAAATTGGTTTGGGGAAAAAATATCAAATTTGATGAGAGCAGTTGAAGTACATCTTTAACAAATTTTGTTTTTACTATTGGGGAATAAATGTGTGCTTTAAGACCGGTCGAGCATGTTTAAAACTGGCCAAGAACTTATTCATAAATACCTTTTTGGTCAAAAAAATCTAAAATTTCGGTCCATAAGTCAAATATTATAAATTTGCAATGATTTTGTTCATCAATTTTACTTCATGTTTTTTTCTTTCTATATTTTGGTATGTCTCTCTCGTCAGAAGTCGTAAACAACTCCTTATATGGAGATTAGCGTGCATCACGCCTACTACGCGATGTGGCGCAGAATGCAGCTGTGCCAGTGTATTGTGAATTAAGGACTTTGAAATACTGACTCACTGGTAGTGCTTCGCATGCCTACGTGAGGATTATTAACGTTCAACCAATGAAAGGGTAAAAGGCGCCGAAATTCATAGGAGTCCACATTTCATGAGACACTGGAAAAGTGTTTGAGACCGGCCGGCCGGTCTTTTTCCGTTTTAAAACCGGCCACGTGACAGGCTCTTGATCAATAGGAATCGGTAAACCTTCTTAGGCATTTATGAATGAGAATTAACACAGTTAAAGTCAGTTCTGAAAAAAAAAAGTCCTAACTTTTTGCCGGTGGCCATGTTAAAGTAGAATTTTTCACCCGTAAATTCTACAACAATGGAACCCGCAGATATCTGTATCTTGGGCCGTACCGTATTCGTTCTGTTCGGGGAAGGCGTCGACCGGTGACACGCCCTTGTAGCCGTCTTTCTTCGCATTCTTCTCAGGAAACTTGCCCTGCCAGATGTTCATGCGGGACAGGTCAAACTTGTTGCCCCATGGATACTTCCTCTCTGAAAAATTAAAAGACCAATCGATTAAAAGATTTACTTCAAAATCAAAATTAGAGTTTATGATCCCGATAATTCAAGCACAGATATAACCATGTCATATTAACAGCCTTGCAACTGTTAAAAATTTACCATATTTTTGGAAATCCAATTTTCACAGGACATCCCACAAAAGCCTTTGAATCCTTGAAGGGAATGTACATCTTTGGCTTTTGCTGTAATTTTCAGAAATGGACTATTTGAGGGGTTAGTATAATAGATCAAATTTTGTTACACTGACATGTTTGAAGATTTGTGTTCGAAAATGCGCGAAAAACCAAGAAAAACAAAAAAGTTCAAGTAGTCTGGTTCCCCGACTCCACTAAAGATGAAATGGATCAATTTATAGATGCCGGAAATATGTAAGGTAAGGGAAAAGGCTAGCTGGCCTGCACCCATTCACGAACATGGAACCAATAGCTAACAAAATTTGGACTGAAAAAAAAATGGTAAATTAGGAGCAGTAGTTGACCACCCTTGGAAATTTAAACACACAAAAATACCACTTTTCTTGAAAATGACTTCACACCAGGTGCCATAATTTTACAGGATGCTTTAGACTGTCATTTACCAACATCCTAGTAAAGTATTTCGTAAACATTTGGTAGTTTTGTTTTTTCGATGTTTGCAAATGTTGTATATTCCCTTTAAGCCTCATCAACTTCTCTCCATTTCTCAATGCAACTGGCACCTGTTCCACATTGTGTTACATTGTGTTTATTTCCTGAGGAATCCACAAAACCATAGAGAGCTCCGGCGGTTTGAAAATAACAGGTAGGATGGTTAACGGCGGTACCGGGACATGGGTAGCCACCACTCTGCCATTACAGCACAATGAAGCAGTTACACCCCTCCCCTTCCTTAACCCTTTAACTCTAAACCCCTTCCTAAACCCACACTGTTTAACATCCTGCCCCTTTAAGTGCAAAGCTTTCACCCATGCCAGTCAGAGTACCATAGGCGATCCTGTTCCCCTACCCCTCCCCACTAACCTCCCAATCAGCTTCTGTGGGTAGCCTCAAACCATGTCAGTCACAGTAACGCCCCCTCGCCCATCCCCACACCCATCCCCACACCCATCCCCACACCCATCCCCACACCCATCCCCACACCCATCCCCACACCCATCCCCACACCCATCGTCACTCTTCCATCCATTATGGAGGAGGCAGCCTCCCACTGTGTTCCAGTTGGTGTTCTCCACCCACGAGTCATCACAGTATATCTACTCTGGCTACCCAGCACCCACCCCTAAACCCCTCCAACACTTCCCCCTTCTTTCTTGCTAGATTCCCTCTTGCTGCAGCATTCCACTCCATCTCCGTGGGTAGCTTCCATCCATGCCACTAGTGCCTTGCACCTCTGCTCCCCTCCCCATCACCCCACTACACCCCGCTTGCCCCTCGCTCCACCCTTCTTACTTGCTAGACCCCCTCTTGCTGCAGTCTCCCACTCCATCTCCGTGGGTAGCCTCCATCCATGCCACTCACAGCATGCCTTGCACCTGTGCTCCCCTCCCCACCACACTCCACCCCTTCCCCCCTCCCACACCCCCTGCTCCCCCCTTCTTACTTGCTAGACCCCCTCTTGCTGCAGCCTCCCACTCCATCTCTGTGGGCAGCCTCCATCCATGCCAGTCGAAGTAAGCCTTGCACCTCTGCTCCCCTCCCCACCACACCCCACCCCATGCTCCCCTCCCTTCTTACTTGCTAGACCCCCTCTTGCTGCAGCCTCCCACTCCATCTCTGTGGGCAGCCTCCATCCATGCCAGTCACAGAATGCCTTAGCGTCCCGCAGGCTGACGTGAACGACTGGATGGTTCAGTCTGTGCTCTATAGTGGATCCTTTCCCTTCTGGCTAAGTGAAACAATTCCGTACAAGAAATATTAGTTTTTCCACAAGTTACCTTTTACCTCAAGAATTACAAAGCGACAACGTTTAGTTAATAGTGTTCAATGCTAAGGTGACATTTTCCCTTCATTTTAGCTTTCCAATGCAAGAAACATTTCATCACTTTTATCAGACATTTCTCTCTAAATTTTCTATAAAATCATTGAAACTTTTTTCATTGATTAAATTTCAAAGATCAAGTAATCAAATATAGTCACTCCAAATTCATCCCCTGCCCTCCTCCATATGTCCCCATCCCTCCCAGCAAATCTTCCTTTACCTCGCCTGCACCCCTGCCATGGCCTGCCTTGCACCCTGCCCACTTCCCTTCAAATCTTCCATTTCCCACAGCCCTGTCCCTCCCCTCCCCTCCCTAAAACTTTCCAGGCATCTCCTTTTACCCGTGTTCCTTGTCTTCCTGCATTTCTGCCCAACCCCCTGTACCCGGTCCTGCCCTTGTCTCCATATCTGCCAAACCCCTCCTTGCACCCCTGTTCTACCACTTCCTCGCCCCTGCCACGCCTCTCCCTTACCCCTCCCCACCCAACCCATGATTCACCCCTTCCTCACATTCCCTGCCACGTCCCTTTCCTCACCCCTATCCTCACCCCGCCCATACTTCAATTCCCTTCCCCTTTCAACAGCCAGTCGTCTGAATGGGTCATTCCTTACCATCCTCCAGTAAGCCCTGTCCACTGGTACCCACCACGGTGCTCCCTAGAACAAACAAAAAATACGAAGTATCTTTTGAGAGCAAATTCTTTCCTACTTTTGATTTCATTTTTCCCTTGTAGCCGGATTAGTGCTTTAAAATCTTTATCCAGTCAGTTTAAAGCTATAGTCCATCATTTGCAGCTATCCGAAAAGTAGCTGGCGTAATTATTGTTGAAAAACATAATTGGTTGAAAGATAGTAAGGGGATTAAACTCCCTGTGAAATTATTCTTTCTGGCAAGCTGTCATTTTGAAGTAATCAACGAAAGAAGGCCTTTCCAACGGTGCTTCTTAAGACGCACCGTAGGAAAATTTAAATTAGTAGTTCGTTTTGTTATTCAGCGAAGCGCGCGCAAGCATTGGCACGACGCACACGCACCCCCGGTTGCTATAATTCGTCAGATCAGTGCGCGACATCGCGTAGCTGCATTCGGCTCAGCGAGAACATGTCTCGGACGCTGAATTCAGGCGCAATTCAAAACATGATTCAGCAACTTTTGATTTGAAATTGAGATCCTAGAATGCTGTTTTTCTCAGAATATACAGCTGAAGCTGAGCTGAAACTTTATCAGGTTAGTTGTTCAGTACCCTTCTTTAGATTTTGAGCACTTTTGTTGCTTCAAACGAACAAAATGCACAAATTACAAATGATGGACTATAGCTTTAAAAACCTGAACACAGTAGAAACTGAGAACAAATCTACTCTGTGTTTCTTGCAGGAATTGAACCAGAGACACTGGATATGGAAAGAAGCAGAACAGCTATGAAGGAAAAACTACAGAAACTCGAGTGCCCATACTTTACAGCATGTTTTAAAATTTGTTACAAATACAGGTGTGCCAGTCCTCAATTTATATATATTTGATATTGTTTTCATTACCAAAACTGGCATCAGAGTGTCTTGAGAAACGACCACGTCTACATGTAACATAGCGCCCCTTCAACAAAGATATTGACTAATTGGGGAACCAGCCACCAACATAGGGCTGGATAGCTCGGTTGGTAAGAGCACCGGAACAGTTATTCGGAGGTCGCAGGTTCAAACCCCGCTCCAGTCAATTTCTTTGTTCAACTTTTCAATTGTTATAATTCACCTAGTCAGTTTCCCTGTGTGGTTCATTTGAAAATTAAAAAAAATAGAAGGCAAACAAATTAATAGCTTAAATCCATCAAACAACAACGGTAATACATGTAGTTACTTTTAGGACCCCTCTATTTTTTTTTGGGGGGGGGGGGGTCACTCAATTCAATAACTTCTTGCAAGGTGTTTGTCAGTCCAAAATTACAGTTGCATTTTCAAGTAGTCTTTTTCTTCAAGGCGAGTTCGAAATGTAAAAATGCGTTTTTGTTCTGTTTTACAGGAACGGGGTTCCAAAACTAACTATTACCACAACAACAGGTGGGGTGGCATGGGTGGCTTGTGCGTAAAGCGCTCGCCTCTCACCAAGGTGACCACGGTTCGAATCCTGGCCGCGGATCGCATGTGAGTAGAGTTGTGCGTTGGTTCTCCCCTGTGCCACGAGGGTTTTTCTCCGGGCCCTCCGGTTTTCCTCCCTCCGGAAAAATCAAACACTTTCGATCTCAGGCTGTGCTCCGTGGTCATATATGGGTCGATGTGGCCGGCAGCCATAGGCGCCTTTACGTGCCAGCGGCCCGACCACGTTGTAGCCGCGTCCTTCGCAATTCAGCATACCAGCTGCGAGTAAGGATGATTAGCCTCCCAAATTATTATTATTATTAACAGCATAGCATGTACCTTTATTCTATCTTTTGCTTCTTTGCTGACTTTTTTCGACACGAACATCTCCAAAACAAAACTCCATCCAAACTTTTCAGCCTCCGTCTTGTATTTCTTGGCCTTCACAAATTTCCTGCACATCAACACAAAGCACAAGTACTGATCAAAATGACGTACAACTGTTAGCAAGTGGAGTGCTGTGGCCTCGTGGTTAAGGGCACTGATTCGTGGTCTGTGGGTAAAGCTGCAGGTCGTGGGTTCGAGTCCTGGCGGGGTCATGGTGCGTGCGCCCTTGAGCAAGGCACTTTGTCACTCATTGCTTCTCTCCACCCAGGAGTAAATGGGTACCTATGAGGGCAGAGATGGTTGTTGTGATTGAATAAGCTTCCTTGCGCCTAACAGGCAGCATCGAGCTGTATACTCCCCAGGGAGCTGAGATGGTATATGGAATGTTTAATTGGCCCAATGATTAGGGATAATAATAATGTAAAGCGCTTTGATCTTAGTTAAAAGCGCTATGTAAGGCCAAAAAAAAAAAGTCTCCGGTTTCTGGTATGGAGCTTGCCCCAAAAGTGGTGCGGCGACGCGGCTTTTTTTTTTTTTTTACCTGTTTTTTTTTTTTTTTTTTGGGCTTCAAATGTCGGCTGATGACTGCAAATGGTGCCCGACTAAACTTAGTGCAAATATATGGGAGTCCACAGAGGTCACATGAAGCTTATTCTCGACCATAACCCAATCTAAAAACACGTTAAAATTGTGCAGCATCAGGATTCCAGTCAAACCAGTGAGTTTGGCGGTTTTGAGACATCATCTTTCATTAAAAAAACCTTTTTCATTTTGCGGACGCGCATGGCTATGGCGACGCGCGCGCATACCAGAAACCGGAGACTTTTTTTTTTGGCCTTAACTAAATGTCGGTTGAATTTTTTTTTTTTTTTTTTCAAAAGTGAATAACTTTTACATTACTAGGAAAATAGCAATTGAAAAAAAAAAAGCGTTCTATTTTTTGAGGTGAAAATTGAAAATAACATGGGAAAAATGCATCTTTAATAATTTAGAATTTGATTATTGGGATATTCATTAATGATCGAATATTCAAATAAGCAGTACATTCGGTACAACCCTAACAAACAGGGGTGTGGCTAATATCTGAAAAGAGCATGGCAAAGCACACTCAACACAGTACCAAGTGTACACAGAATAAAACAGCGCCCTCACAAGGGTGTGCACATACCCAATGGAATTTCTCCATCCCGGTGTAATATAAAAATGTGGACTCAATGAAATGCAGACCCAGTTGTATGCCACAGTGCAGGGTAACCGTCCATATACAATGTGGGGTCAAGAGACCAGATTTCACGGGAGTCCACATTTTCTAAGACAACAGTCATACCTGAAGGATGCGATGGTGACGGGATACCTGTTGATCTTAAAGGACTTGACTGTCTGGAGGCGGGCAGGCCCCTCCCCTTCCTTGGCATCCTCTGCGTCTGTTCCCATGGTGAACTGCTGCCCCTTGATGAGGACCATCTCCTCGTAGTGATCAACATCTGCATCTGGAGTTTGAGATGTAACATTAAATTACACTGCATTTCAGGCATTTCTGCGAGTCCTCAAAAAGCTCCGAAAGACTTCCGTATTCGGCCACCACTTTTTTTTCAATAAATGTTGAAGCGCCAGAAAGTACCATCCTATTTTCTCTACTTTCCCTCCTCGACTCTCGCCCCTCCATCCTTCCCTCTTCTGATCTCTTATTAATCAGTTAGTGACTTAACGAACATCCATGGGAATTGAACCTGGAGAGGAGAGAAACTGTCAAGAATAAACACAGTAGTCATCCCCTTGACTACTCGGGGAGTCAGGTTGGCATAGCGGTACTTTCTTCGCCTTCTACCGCTGTGACCCGAGTTCGAATCCCGCCTGGTCCAACATGTGGATTGGGTTTTCAGTCCCTACCTGATTCCGTGGGTTTTCCCCAGAATATCCTTCTGGGCTTTTCCTCCCACCTCTAAAAAAACTCTCATCTTCTCATCGTTTTCTCTCTACAGGTTTCTTCAGGCTTGCGAGCTTACAGTGCCTAGGGCGCTTTTGAGGAATCCTTGGTTTCATTACCAGAAATAAAATGATAATAAAAATAATAACAAATGCTTGTTGCATGCCGTTGAGAGTCCATTCGATATATTTAAGGTGTCCGTCGAAGTACATTGTATGTAAGACTAACGAATATTTCACAAGATAAATATTTATGAGAAATTAAATATTCATGATGAGGTATCAATTTAATGAGGCTAGTGCGTTGTCATGCGCACTGCATACTTCCAGACCATTCAATATGGATGCCTACACAATCGACTGTCCGAACGATGTGTGCATCCAAAATGTGCCCTAAAAACACATTTTCCCTTATGACTTATGTTTTCAGTTTCCCACTTAGCCTAATGGAATTTTCTTCCATGAAAACACAAGGGAGGTGAAAATTGTTAATTATAATAATATTGCTTTTTAGAAGTTGTCATCCTAATTGTTGGACTGTGAGCTGGCCTACAGTGATCGGTTGAGTACTTTTGAAGTTCGGATTTGAAAGAGACATGAGAGATGACACTGCATTTCACTGTAGTTTCTTTATTTTCATTCATACAAAGTGTTTATCATGTTTATTAATATTAGATAGTGGATATTTTGCCGGAGGTAATGACGGCAAACTAACGATTACTAAAGGTTTGCCGGCGGCAATCCATATCAACAGAGGGCGCTGTACTCTTTAAAATAGGGCTGAATTATAAGATGTATTAAATTCCCACCAAAAGTTGTGTAGAACGTTTGGTGTAATGGTTAGGCAAAGGCTCTAGAAAGCGGGATGACTCGCGTTCGATTCCGACCGCACAACATTTTAAAGTTTTTTTTCTCATCCCCAAATAAATAAGAATATTATTCTTTTATTATTTCAACATGTCTCAAACATTTTTTCAGAGTATTACATTTTCTTATTCAGATTTGTGGCTCTGGAGGATTTTTTTTACAAGGGAAATAAACTTAAGTCCGAAATTAAAAAATGGTCTGAATCCCATCTTGTGAATACGAGGTAACAACGATAATTTTGGAATGGAGCCAGACTAAAACTTGTCACCGGAAAATGTTTAAGTACAAAAAACAGTAACTGCGCATGTTCAGTGCATATCTGGCAAACTAACGTTTACTAAAGGTTTGCCGTCTCCGGCAAAATATAGGGCCTACACTGCCTTAATATTATAGTACCATGATGGCGTGAACCGGTCTGGCATGTCTGGCATTTTTTCCACTGTTCTGCTAGCACTTCCTCTGCACATGCGCATGTATACACAAAAGATTACTGCTTGATTGATGCTGAGCAAATGTGTGGAAAAGTGGGATGCTTGTTGCAATTTGTACTAGAGTAGAGGCCGAAATATTTCCATGAAAAAAATGCCATAATTTACCAACTTGTTGTGCTCACATGTCATTATTAAGCAGATAGTTTAGTTAGAGCCAAACATTATATTGTAACCAGTCATGCGGTTACCCATAGAGCAAGGAATTGCTCTATGGTTACCCCTAGAACCATGGGATGGAGGACGTGCTCCACGTAAGCAGCGGAGCTGCCGTAACAACCATGACAACATGCCCAACCTTAACCATGTATGCTAACTTACCCAGAGGAACATCCTCTTTCAGAGTTGCTTCTGAGCTCCAAAACACCCACGAAATTACGACCGAATAGAGCAGGAATGTCGCCCGTGTGTACATATTTACTGAAATGTGTATAAATCGCAGCTGCAGTGTCCTAGATAACACTCAACAGTAACTTTACCGTACTGACAAAGTAAATATTTTGAGGAAGAGATTAACCTAGTTTATGTACACGTAAGCTAAACACATGGCACAGCTGGGAGAGGGTTAAAGGTCACGCGTCCGGGAGCGCACAAGGGCGCCACCACAGTGATTATTTAGTCGAGAGATCGCTTCTCAAAAGTGGGGGGGGGGGCATAATGATCAGAAATCATGTAAGCGCGAATCCCTAACGGCGTGGGGTTCGGGGCCCGCTTAAAAGGCCTCCGAATAATGTTGGATTCCAGACGCTCTGTGGTGCGATCTGAAGCAATTTCTGACCACTTTAATAACAATTTTTAGCACTTGAAGATCATCACTGATTTAAAACATCATTTTCGAAATTGGAGTCATTGAATCAGCTTTTCTGAGCTATATAATCAAATGTAGGCTGCAATATTTATTCAGGAACGAAAAAGTGGGGGGGGGGGAACGATATTATCCCCCACTTTTTTAAAGACTTGTTGCCCCCCCCCCCCCCCTCGTCCCCCACCGATTGGCGCCCATGTATCTAGTAGTTTTTGTTTCCTGACCTGATTTTGCGGCTTGCATATGAGCACCTATCCCAACAGATATCAAAAGCTCATACTTCGATTAAAGATCGTACTGATAGGCCTACTTCACTACGAATAGGCCTAATATCCACAGAGCTGAACAAGTTTAGGTTTTGAACATTCTTCTTTGGATTTTGAGTGGTACGTGTTATTGGAAACAAACAAATTTACCTGAAAAGCAAATAATTCTGTGCCTTTCAGAAAATTGTGGGTGTGCAGGTACCCGTCACATTCAGGAATAGAACATGACACAGCAAGCCTTGCCCTCATGGTGAAAAAAGCCTGAATGAGAGTGGCAATATTATTTTATCCCCAAATTTACCCGTAAAAAGAAAACGTTTTGACGAAACGAAGACCCAATTATTATACAAATGTACAACCATAATCTCTCATTTTGTTTGGGGGATTTCTTTGAACGGGTTCAATACCCCCACGTTAGGAAACCCTAGTCACCTGGTTTAGCCCAATTATATAAATTTACAGACACCGCCCCCCCCCCCCCCCCTTGGGCTTTCTTGGCTAAATAAGTTATCACTGTTCACATGATTTTTCATATAGTTTTATTACGGTTAATGTGCCAATATAACTTTGTGCATTATAAGCTCATCAGTAATGAGGTTTGGCAATACTTGACGATATCTAGGGGAAAGGTATTAATGAGCGCAACGTTAGGGCGGGTTAAGTCATCTCTTGATCTTTCATACTGTCCTTATAATATCCATTGACTTGAATGCTTTAGAACACGTTATTCAAGCAAAGATAATTAGAATTCCCAAAATATGCTTTTTCAAAGAATGAAACTGTTTAAATATACCAAAAAATATAGGAATAAATATATTACAACTGATGCTATTTACGCCTTACGCAAATTAGGCACCTTCCCAAAAGAATTGCAGGTGTCACCCCTTCTAAATATCTTTGTTAGGGCTATATAAAGCAGGATGACCGTAAAGTCAGAGCCAAATTCTGCTAAATGCACATAAAAAATCTGCCAAATTCCCCAGAATTACTCGAAATACACTTAAAATCACAGGCAGATTGGTAGTATTGACTTGATTAAAGTTCAAATTACATTATAAACAATCTATAGTAACACAAGATGTTATGAAATATCGCGTAAATTTCGGGCAAAACGCAGATCCGGCCACGTACCATTTTTTGGTTCAAATTTGCTGTTTTTCTGTCAAATTACCATTTTTGCAGAGTTCTGCCAGAAATCTGCCCAAAAAATCCATTCTGTCAAATTTTCTGTCAAACTCATTTTTTTTTACACAAATTCTGTCAAAGTTAGCCGAAAATCGGCTAAAACGGTCACCCTGGCTATAAGAATCGATCTGCAAAGTTTGGTGCTCGGTGGACCAGTCGGTCACGATTCCGACCCTGTCACCTGACTATGAGCAAACACGATCATATAATCTTCACATATTAGGAAGAGCATGATCACCATGACTTGTAATACTGAGCTCGGTAATTGGCGGGCTTTTTGTGTGACATCAAAGCCAGCGTGTGTCGTAATAATTGCTGTGAGAAACACGGCCTGTCACTGCACTGCACCGATTAATATGAAGTATTAACCGGTGTCCGCGTGCCGTCTTCGGGCGATAAAACACCACACGTATTTTGCTGCATCCTCGCACGAGCCACGTTTCCTCTCTATGCGACCTGTCAGTTTTTTTCTCCGTTCTGGCTCTCGGAATTATTACACATTCGGAACGAGATTGTAATCGCATTTCACTGTTCTCATGTTGTTTTGATGGATCTTTTATTTGAACTTTTTAAAACTCAATTTGACATGCTTTTTGTCGGCAGGCGGAAAATGGCAATACATATAAAAGGCCCAATGCATTAGCTGCATGCCAATAATATAAACTAATTCTAAACATCGGCAATTCAAAGAAACAAGATATCCAACAACTATTATTCTCTTCTTATAACTTTTGTTCAGGCGCGTAGCCGGGGCTTTGTTTGCATGTTGCATAAAAAAATTTCCGTCCCGTTTATGTGCCGTCTCGATCGAGTTTGCATTTTTTTAATCCATTTTCGCCGTTCCATGTCAATGGACAAAATTGCTTCGCAGCGTCTGGATGTTGCTTTTAAAATCTTGAGCCCGTTGCAATGCACCGGCACACAGCACAGCGGCGTATTAGTCAGGTGGCTTAGATCTAATTTTCGTCAAGATAGTGACCGACTGGTCCAAAGCACCAAACTTGTCAGATAGATTCTTATAGACCTTGAGAAGATATTTAGAAGGGGTGACACCCGAATTTTATTTGGGAAGGGTGCCTAATTTGCATAAATCGTTAATCCCTGCCGTGTAATATATTTATTCCCATATTTGGTACATTTTTATTTTTTATTTTTTTGAAAAGTGTATTTTGGGGATATTACATATCTTTATTTAAATAACATTTTCCAAAGTATATAAGTGACTGAATAATTATGAGGACATAGTAACGATCCAAAATGGCCAATATTATGCCCTAAAATGCGCGCATTTACCTTGTCCCCAGATATCATCAATAGTCTTGCCAAACATCAGCATTGATGAACTTCAAATTCACCACGTAGCTTACTGGTACAGTTACCCTATTGAAACCTTATGCAAAATCATGTGAACAATGAGAACATTGTGATATTTAGCCCAGAAAACAAAAACTGGGGAAAAAAACGAGGTGTCCATAAATTGGGCTAACAAGTGAGGTGAAGGGTTGCCTAACATGGAAGACTGGAACAAGTTCAAGGAAATTCCCAAAATTATTGTTGAGAAAACGTTTTGGCGTAGACAAAATTTTGTAAACAACAACAATCTCTTATTTGGGGGGATTTTGTTGAACTTGTTCAAGTCCCCACGTTACCCTTCCCGTAGTAGCCCAATTTACGGACACCACTTTTTCTCCCCTTTTTTGGTCTTTTGGGCCAAACATCAAGATGATATCAATTTTCACATGACTTCCCAGTTATTTTTGTTAGGTTAACTATGTCAGTAAGTACCTTTGTGAATTTGAAGCTCATCAATACCCACGTTTGGCGAGACTAGTTGATGATATCTGAGGAAAAGGTAAATGCGCGTAACTTTAGGGTAAAATAGTTGCCATTTTGGTGATTTACTATGTCCTCGTAATTATTTAGTCACTTACATGCTTTAGAAAATGTTATTAAAGTAAGAATATGCAAGTAGAATCCCCAAAATACACTTTTCAAAAAAAATAAAAAAATATAAATATTCCCAAACATGGGAAAAAATATATTACACGGCAGGGATTAAAGATTTATGCAAATTAGGCACCCTTCCCGAAAGAATTTCAGGTGTCACCCCTTCTAAATATCTTCTCTAGGTCTATAAGAATCTATCTGCCAAGTTTGGTGCTTTGGACCAGTCGGTCACGATTCCGACCATATGCCACTTGACTATATAGGGTTCTCATCCTAGGGGGACAAGTTGGGGGGGGGGTGGATGTTACAGTTCAGGGGTGCCCAATTTCATGAGGGGGGGGGGGGGCTGGACACCATCTTCCCATGCTGGATTCCCATGAGAGCTAGGCAATAGGTGGCGCTATTCGTTTTCAACGGGACGTTCAAATAAACAGCCACTTGCGAAAACAAATGCGTCATTTTTTGGGGCGTGAAAAATAAACACAAATCGTGAAAAAAAGCACTACACTTCATGTTCAACCCGCTATTCATGGTCACTTAAAGGCCTGTGCTTTTCTCCGGTTGCCAATTTTCACGCTGGGGATGGGGGGTTGGGACTGGGGGGGGGGGGGGTAATATTGGGGGGGGGGCGGGGGGCGTGCGCCACTGTTTCAGTTTGTCTTTCTTTCGCAGGCCATAAACCCATGGAGCCATAAACCCAAAATTAGTTTGTGGTCATAAGCAGGCATACGGCTCATGTGCTGTAGCCAAATTCCTTACTTCAATTGTCAAGGAAATCGAAAAAAGAGGAATTTCTTCAAGAATCGTGGTCATGCAGGTTTGACCCGAAAACAACAACTTCTTGTAATTGAAATTCAGTTGAATTACTGTGTTTCTCACTAAGTTGGGGTAGGCCTAATTATTGATAAGTATACTTATTATTATTAGTAGGCCTACATGTTATACCCAAAATAGATGATGGTCGTTTTCCTTAAAGCGACTATTTTGCGCCAGTTTTTAAGAAATGGAAAACCCAGAAATTTGACTAATAACATGTTTTTAAAGATGCAAAATATTTACACAAAATCCTCAGAGGTTGCCCCGTCTTCTCCGATCGTTAACCCCACCCTCCCACCAAAATAAAAATAAAGAAATACGTAAATAAAACATCCATACACAGGTGAGGAGGACGTTTCATCAAAGCGATTAAAATTCCAGTCATCTCCAGCAAGAAAAGCAGGATGTAAGCTTTCCTGCGGACGAGAAGTATCAGCCGTAAAAACAAAACAAACATCGCGCGGACGTGGCCAAGGAGATTTTGAGCGCGGGGAAGTGGGCACTTAGCCCGCCGTAAAGCTCGTTGAGGTGCCCCGCACAGGCCGCTCTG